CCCCCCCCCCCCCCCCCCCCCCCCCCCCCCCCCCCCGCTTATTCAACGGCTGGCTGAGTCGTTGCGAATTGTTTGGTTCCCAGGGCCCTGATTCTAATACTCTAGCATGAGCCGTATTTCTTCCCTGAAAATACTAGTTTCTTCCAATCTAATTTCTGAGAGGAAGTGAATCGTCTATTTTCTTGGAGCTCAGCTAGCAACGATTTGGAAATTGATTAAAATAAATAGAATACATTCATTGATCGGAAATATGTATTTGTGGCATCCTCATGCCACATGAATTATTTGAAATGAATATGCGAAATTATTATAAAATAGTACTAGCAGCCCATCGAGAGAAACAAGGAAGTAGTTCTTACAACGTAAAAATTAATGTTCTTCTTCAATAACACACTTAAACTGAGAGATGGCGCTCTTCGTTGTTCTCTCGTAGAGTTTCTATTATCTCGCGAACAAGAATTGCGCTAATAGGAAAAGTTCACCTTATAGCCAAATCTAAACAACAATATCCTGTCTTCTGGCAAAAAGAGGTCAGGGGAGGGTAGGGAGAGGGGGGGGGGGGGGGGGTAGGGGCGCTGCCCCTATATATTTTTGAATGCTCACCTTATATATCTTGGCAGCGATGTGTTTACTTTTATTTTCTAATATAGAGATCATATTGACTTATGATGACTACACATTTTTTTTAAATTATAAGTTATGATTTTCATGTCAGAATATTAAAAACTGGAAAGCCGATGTGAATTGATGATACAAGTATCTCGAATATATATTATTATGTTTGTAACATTCTTCTAATTTCAATACAATTTTTAAATATATATATATATATATATATATATAATTCATCATTCATAAATTATCATTTTATATAAGAGGACACTTTTTTTTTTTGGTCATGAAATGTTTAAATTTGACATTTTGCTCCATGGGGGGGGGGGGGGGGGTAAGGTCATCATTTTAGGTCAGCCATTGGTATATATTTTTTTGGGGGGGGCAGGGGGGCACGCCCTTGTTTTTCAGTACATTTTAGGCGCATTTTTGGCGAATTTAGGGCTGATTTCAACATTTTTTTTTGGCGGGGGTGGGGGGGGGGGGGGGCACGTGCCTCCTGTGCCCCCTGGATCCGCCAATGAATACACCGAATGGAATAACATACCATGATATTTCAGACCATTTACCCATATTATGTCCGAATAATGAACACTTATTAAAAATCCCCAATAAAGAACATACAACACGACGTAAAGAAACAAAACGAATCTTTAAAGTTAGAGTCGAGTCAAGAAGATTGGTATGATATTTATTTTGAAAGAGATGTGAACAGGTCATATAACAAATTTATGAACAAATTTCTTTGTCATTATGATAAAATGAAGTGAATCAAATAAAAATCAAATAAAACGACCATGGATTACTCAAGGTATACTTAAACCAATATCTACTAAAATACAAAAAAAAAACTACAAATGAAAATCAAAATAAATATAAAAAGTACGCAAATTACACTATTGTAATAAAATTAAAAATAGTAAAGATAATAATCAATCACTATGACAAACAATTAATGACATCTTAGGGAATAAAAACGGTACTCCACATAATATTTAATCTAATGACAGTGGGGATCACATTCAGGACCCAAATGATGTTGCTGAGGCATTCAATAAATAGGCCTGCTACTTTATTAATATTGAACCGGATTTAGCATTCCAAAATAATCAATAAAAAGAATGATATTTTGAAATACTTAAATGATAACGTTAATCAATCCTAATTATTTTAATCTAACAAATGTTCAAGATATTTTAGAAATTGTTCGTTCATTAATTAAAATGCAATAAATCTGGAGGCTATGATGAATTATTTGTATAGTTTCCAGAAAAAATGAATTAGCCTATGTATGAACAAAAAAGGTAATATCTTTTTGTTGGAAATGAAATAAATATGAATATGAATATGAATTAAGTGTATCTTTTAGCTTCCAAAATAATCACTAAAAAGAATGATTTTTTTGTTGTAAATGCTTAAATGATAACGTTAATCAATCCTTATTTTTCAATCCAACAAATATTCAAGAGATTTTAGAAATTGTTCGTTCTTTAAAATGCAATAAATCTAGCGGCTATGATGAATTAAGTGTATCTTGATTAAAACAAATAATTCACTTTATAGCTTCCCCATTATCACATAGGCCTATCTTTAATTTATCTCTTTCCCAAGGAATTTTTTCCGACCCACTTTTTTTTTTTTTATAGATATATAGAAAGGATGATCAATCTAAAATTACAAACTACCGACCAATATGTTATTTTTATATCTAAAACATCAAATATTTCTATCGTAAAGTGCGGAGTACCACATGGCTCTATCTTAGGTCCCTTACTGTTTTTAGTATAGGCCTATGAATGATATTATTAATGCATCACCACTCCTAACATACGTTTTTTCGCAGACGATACTAACGTATTTTATTCACATAAAGACTTAAACATTCTTATTACAACCCTCAATTTAGAATTAAATAAATTATCATCTTGGTTCAAATCCAATAAAATCTCTTTAAATATCAATAAGACCAATTGCATTTATCTCAAAAACATACACTCTAAACATGAACTTCATTATAATATTTTTAAAGATGACATGCCCATGATTTAAAAAGAAGTTACATAATTCTTAAGTAGTGGTGTTTATTTTACCTGACTGCTAATAAAGCATAAATGCTTGTTAGTAAGCAACCAGAGGACCGACGGCTTTATGTCCTCTCCGAGAGACCTGGTAATAAGGATTAATGCCCTACCAAAGGGCACTAGCTCAGATGTAAACAGTGCGTCCCAGAAAAAAACGAAACCGAGAATTATCGATGTCATATCATAACTTAATCACAATTATAATTATATTATAATATTTTGTAAAACTTAGATCCTCCTCTTTCATTTGTTGCAACTCATATGATGCATATTTCACACATTAGTGAATATAAACAATTTGAAGAGAGGAAACCAAAAAGTCATTTGTACGGCGGTATCTGAATTTCAAGGAAAAAAGAAAAATAACATTTTTAAATAGTTCAATTTCTGCCGTTTCATAAATTATGAGACCTCAATCAGGAAAAATGAGCCTGGAATAAACAAGGTATGTTTGTTTAAAGTAATGCTTGCATTTCCATATTTTGATTAAACGAGTGCGTTTTCACTGGCTGTCTGCCGTAGCAACACACAGAGTTGACAAAAGACTTAACTCCGTTTCGCTGACGATGAGACGATCAGTCATGCACAAAGAAGACGAAAGACTTTTTTGGTGAATTTCAATTGTCACTCTTTATGTAAATCATTATGTCATATACTATTATTGTTATTTGAATATTTTGCATTTGATTTATCAATACATGCAGAAAGTTCTGCTAAAAAAGAAGGGAAAAGAGAGAGAGAGAGAGAGAGAAGATGGCGAATGGGTAGGGAGAGGGGAGAAGAGATAGAGAGATAGAGAGAGAGAGAGAGAGAGAGAGGGGGGGGGGGGGGCGTACAAAGTAAACGATAGGACCCTCTTCCACATTCTTCCAATTGTCGATGGTCTTGTAATTCGTATTTCATCCCTCAATAAGACGGGTGCCCCAGTGTTGGTACTGCCCCACCACGGTTTTACCAATGCTATTGTCCACTAGACTTATCTATACTGGTATCAACAGTTGGTTTTGTTACGCGGTAATTTTTTTTAAAATACGCGATCTGTTCTTTAATGTGCTGAGCAGTTGAAGATACTGTAAAGCAAACTCCCATGCACATCCCCATCATTTAATTGAGTTAGAAATCATCTCTATTTCTCTCTTCAAGATAGTTTCATAGAACTGCTTTTTTCGTGCGGACATTTCTTCTTTCGCTCTCTTTCCACCCTATTTTTTCGTGCTGACGTTTCTTATGTCGTTCTCTTTCTCAAAGGGGGAGGCGGGCGATTCGCCGCCCCCTGAATCCGGTATTGGATTAGAGCGAGAGTGAGACAGACATAGAGAGAGAAATGAGAGAGAGAGAGAGAGAGAGAGAGAGAGAGAGAGAGAGAGAGAGAGAGAGAGATGTTTTTTTTTTTGGGGGGGGGGGGGGGGGGGTTTACATCATATATCAAAAATATATCATTACCGGTATATTACACAAACTTCTATTTTTCTTGTATTATATTAGTTAGACAAGTTCAGCCGGAGCTTTCGTTTTCTTGTTTTTCGACAAATTAAGTGGGCGAAGGGATCGGAAGTCGCCGGAAGGATGACAAGCAGGCCATTTACAGGCCATCTTTCATCGTAGGCGGTCTAGTCTCTAGTCTATTTTATTTCGCTTTAGAGTGAGAAATATTCTAACTAATGCAGATGATGGAATGATTGGCCAATATGTTTAAAACTTCATAGCAGGCCTGATTACTAGGCATAATTTGCTATCGTTATAACAAAATATGTAAATTAACATTTTTGTTTAATTGCAAGCATTATTTAGGCATTTATTTAGTCTATTTGCTATGAACTATTTTACAAAATCATCTTAGTGAGCTTTTTCCCGGGCTTTTTCATATTCCAATTTTGCCATCCGATGCCACCTTCCCAACTTTGGGATAACTTCTTGTCAAAGCTCATTATTTCATGTTTAGGTGGGAGGTTGTCTTTATAGTGGCGTATTATTTTTCAAACGTTCAAACATTATGAGGCAATCAGAAACAAAATGCCAGAAAATTGTCATAAAAATTATGTCTTTCTGTGAACTGACATCTGACAGGCCTGGCTTAATGAATTTGTCAAATTATACGTTTTTATTTCTATTTAGCTTTATATTATCTCCCACAGATCACGGCCCGTGATGTGGCGCGCAGAACAATGATAGAGTTAAATTTTTTAAAAAGAAACTTTTTTTAATATACTGTATCTCTAAAGTCTAGGGCGTAGAGTCATCATCGTCAGCAAACATAATCATGGCGTAATACAAACAATTTACTTCATACGCTAAAAAGAATAAGATGACTGGATTTCCTGCCCGGCGGCCAAGATCCGTGTAATTATGAATATGACTACTGTAGTCGTCTCATTTCGACGATAGATGACAAGTTTCAGCGACTGTCAAATATAGCGCTGAAAGCTGAGCAGAGACACCACAGATTTTGACGAGGTCGAGAGAGCTAGAGCGCAAACGCGCTTGCTTGCTTTTCCACCCAGCGCCTTCCGCAATTCTGAGCCAAGTCGCTGTTCAAAAATGTATATAATTAGGAAATGAGTTCATATTTTACAGCATTTTGAGTTTAAGTGTTTAGGAGCATGTCTTCGTTTCGGAAATTTACCCAGTGGTTTCAACCTGAACCTGAAAATGTCGTTCTTAACTGGATTAGAGGAGCAAATGTCGTCTTCGGACCAGTTACGAGGTAGGCAGTCCCGTGCACGCGATTATATGTTTGTCGTAGAATATTCGGATATAAGGTTACGATTTTTCACAGTTATGTGCTATAATGAGGTTGTTTTGGACAGACGTTCGTCTTGAATTTCTCATAAAGTTTATTTAGTAAAGATATACCATTCCATGAAGAGCGTACGTAAGGTTTTGATGCTACAAATCGTTATTTTCTTTCTCAATACAACATAGATATTTTTAGATGATGATGTCATTTATATTCACTCAAACGCATACAAAGCTAGTCTCCGCACCAGGCTGTTGTAGGATCACTTTGTAACTAGAAAAGTGGTTTAATTTTATAAGTTGTTGACAATTTATCTTTCATAAAGCCTAGCTTATAGCATGGAGTAATGAAATAGATTTTGTATAAGTATACCTTTAGTTAAAGTGTTATTTGATGATGAGAGTGGTCAGTTGGTCACATATTTTCTCTTGGTACTAGTATGGTAGACTCCATCTAGACTAGATCTAGACTACATGTAGATCTAGATACTACAGAAAATTGCTAGTTGTAGACTCAAATTTGATCTGGTATTTTGAAATATCTGAATTTCAAATGCTTTGATTTGATTTTAACAAAGAAATAGCAACAAATTATGGTAACTAAGAATTTCTACGTAAAGTGAGGTTATCGCAAAATAGATGAATCTCTAGTATAGGATCTCCATGTATTCTGTAAAAATATCAATTCATCAAATCATAGTTTAGTTTGATATTATATTTTGATATTAGGTCTGAATAATCAGACCATCATGTATGCTGTACAAAGTTTAATGATCATATAGTTTCCTCTTAGAGTCTTAGCTGTTCAAAGTTTGTGCAATAAACTTCCCTAGATTATATCCAAAGTAGTGCTTACCGTAATCTACTTTGATATTAGAGGACTATATACAATGGACTATTATAATGGGGCAGATATAAACTTTGCCCTGAAACATGTAGGCCTTTGTGAAGTCATGGACTTTATCCAGTATTGTTATTAATAAAGGAACTATTTAACATTAAACAGTCAATGGAAACAGAAAAAGTGGCTACTATATACAGGTGACCTTTATAGAGAGGGGGTCCCTATTAAAGACAGGTTTGACTGTATCTGCTAAATATCCATCTAAACTGCTTGGGACATTAAAATATCCAATGACAATTAACAAAGTTTGGATTAAATATTCCTTTAGAGAATAAAATTTGTTCCGAATTTGTTCAGGATTTTCTTCCAGGTGTACTTGTGTTTACAAAATGAACATTTATTGTGTTCTCATATAAAACCCAAACGGGCAATTTTAGTTTTTTGATATTTGTTTCCCTGAATCTTTTTTACATTCAAAACTTTCCCATGAAGCAGTTTAATGATGATTTAATTGGCTGGACTACTTTCCAAAAAGATTTTATTATTCAAAGTGTTACAAATAATATATTATATTATACTTTCAATACATACAATATTTGGACTCTTTTGAGTGTTACAAATAATATATTATATTATACTTTCAATACATACGATATTTGGACTCTTTTGAGTGTTACAAATAATATATTATATATTATATATACTTTCCAATACAGGCAATATTTGGACTCTTTTGAGTGTTACAAATAATATGTTATATATTATACTTTCCAATACAGGCGATATTTGGACTCTTTTGAGTGTTACAAATAATATATTATATATTTATATTATACTTTCCTATACAGGCGATATTTGGACTCTTTTGAGAGGCACAGTGAAGGCGCCAAGCGGATAACAGATAGACAACTGGTAAAAGCTTTGAATGAACTGGGCTTCTTTCCTACAAAATCACAAGGTAATTATATCAAACTTTGTAATTTGATAGATCACTTAATTAAGAAAAAACAAACAAAACAAAAAACAAATAGACAAAAAAAAACAACAAAACATACATGTATGTAAACAGTGTAAGGGCAAGTCCAAGCCTTTTTGTCTTAACAAACATCTAAGACATACTTTATCAGATATGATGCTAGTAATAGCCATGCTGGGTCTTATCTAACATCAGACATAATATGAAGTGAAGTAACAGATTTGAACATATTTTCATCTTGAGTTCCAAAAGTTAGAGAATATCCTCTGTTTAGAACCCGAAGGGTTTTTACTCGCATACTTTAACAAAGAGTTAAGACCTAATACGGCCCTGCCCCCGACAGACGATAATGGTCAATGATGTAAAATTTGAAGCTCATGATTTGAATACACGTGTAGTATTATGACATGGAGCTATTAATTTATGAAGCAAAGTATTTGTTGGAGATCAGTATACACCATAATATCTTTTATGGAATCAATAGTTTATTTATTGAAAGTAAATTGAAATGTCAGTTTATAACCCCCATATAAATGATATGCATTTTTTGTTTGTTACAGTGTATTGTATGCTGCACACTGCTGCTGACTGTTGTCCAAGGGAAACTACAGACCGTATCACCTTTGGAGAGTTTTGTATATTTGCCTCAGAATTAGAACAACAATATGTAAAACCTAGGTAAGAAATATGAGATGAAATTCACATAATTAATACTCTTTGGTCTAAATTCACGAAAGAGGTTTAATTCAATGACCCCCAATTATTATTTTCTTATTTCTAGGGAGCCTGCTGATGAGAGAAGATTTAAAATACCAAATACCAAAACCTGTTTTGCTCTTGATGTGAGGGGTTCCATGTTGCATTCAAAATATAAGCTTAAAATATTACTTCTACAAAGAATTAGTGAATTTAAATACACTCTCAGGGAACATTAAAATGTCTTGTTGCGTAGACTAGCTTTAACTAATTGGTACACATGCAACACACTCATATAGGGCGCGGATGGAACCCAAGTAAGAATATTTTTTTCAGCTGAAAAGTGGTGGTTTTTATTTTACCTGACTGCTAAGAAAGCATACAATAAATATAATACAATAAAGTCATTTCTATAGCGCTCTTACGAACTAACTGTTGTTTCACAGCGCTTTACATAAAAAGTTATCAAAGAATCTATTGTGTTGATCATGGTCAAAGAGGAGAGTTTTTAGACATTTTCGGAAGACATCCAGCATAAATGCTTGTAAGTAAAAAAAACAGACGGCCAACGGCTTTAGGTCCTCTCCGAGGGACCTGGTAATGAGGATTAATGCCTTACCAAAGAGCACTAGCGCGTTGACTTGGTTTCGAACCCGGGTCACCGGATCACAAGACCACTGGTTTACCGACTGAGCTATCGCGCCTCATCCTCCTTCCCTTTAATCCATGTTCTAAATCATAATTTAAAGGGAGATAGTCGTCAGTTTCCAAGTGCAGAAGGTTATGAATAATTTGCTGACAACAGACTTGGTGGAAATTCCATTAATGGATGTACAAGCCTCACACACAGCAAACCCGTAGTCCCAAGAAAATACCTCTACTTTCCTCAGACTGTCTTCGGGCTAGGGAAATGTAAGATAATGACTTTAAAGGGGGATGGGCGGAAATGCAGACCATAGGCCCATTTACACATCCCAATCACCATTTTGATAAATCTTCAATTAAAAAAAAAAAATGTTTACACTACTGCAAAGTTAGCTCATACTGATTTTTTTGGTAAGTAGTGCGAATGGCCAACTTGTCGGTGCTCTGCATGCATTAGCACGGAAGCGAGGAGAGTCTTGTAAGCGAAATAAATATTTAGAGTGCAAAAATTGGGGGTTTCTATTTCAATTTTTGTCCTGTTTGCCGGCGAAACACTGGAATGTGAGAAAAATCTATGAATTTCAGTTGCAGTGTAAATGCAGCTCATTATATGTTTGTCATAAAACTAAAGGCTAATTCTGGTGATTGACAATACCTGTTATTGGGTGAACACCAGAAAGGTTTCAAATTCCCCATGAGAGCTCTCTACTATGCGTCTCTAAAGTTCAAACCTCCACCATGGACTAGAAGCATTAAAGGCATCGTTTAACAATGTTAAATCTGAGCCGCACGGCCCTACATGTTATCCGTGTCTGTGATATGGTGTAATATTGAAGCCCTAAAAAAATTGCGCTTCGAAATGAACAAGAAGTGCCTCAAAAAAGTAAAAATATCGTAGTGACCGGTTTTACCGTACTCGTTTTCCCCAACAAATTGCAGTGTTATGAACACCATTTCCTCCATCTGTTGATACCCTCAAGGAAATCCTATTTAATATCTTACTTCCACTCGTTTCCCTTATCTCTGAAAGTTATACTCTCATTTTGCATCGTCATTGGGCCTGTCTTCATCAGCTTAGGTTTGCCAAGTAACCCGCTATTTTAACTATCCCTTTGCATCTTCATCAGCCCGCAGTTGCAGTCTTGTTTCCAGAATTTGCGCCCGTCCGAGCTAGTTTGTGAGGAGCTTTAAAACCTGGTATGGGTCTGGTGAAGATGCAATTTTGAGCTTTGGGATAATACCCGAGTCTGATTTAAGTTATGCATTTTTAAAGCTTTAGGGTAGGCCTAAAACTAAGACTAGGACTGAAATTCGGTTGAGAGTTTTGATGCGACAGGCCAACTCAACCTCTAGGTTACATATCAACCGGCCGTCAGAGCACAAATCGACCGGCCCCTAAGGCATCATATCGAGCGGCCGGTAGAGGGAAACTCCCCAGACCCCCCATAGTCAGTCTTCCCCTTAGGAATGGCACAGTGTGTGTCCATTCATGAGAGGACGTGCACTGCTCTTACTTGGTGGATGAAATGCAAGTGTCTGCGAATTCAAGAAAACGGTAGATGGTAATGGTGATTGTTCTGTTGTGCCCCTTCATATTACGTTTTGGGTCAGTGTTAACATTGCAGCTTGTGTTATTTCTCATGTGTTTCAAACATTTATTCCCCCTTGTCTGCAGCGTCCTTCCTCGTTTTACCTCGCCCTCACATTCCAGATACAGACCTATCCCTCCTAGTCCTTCAAAGAAACACAGATCATCGGTTATTGCCAATTTTAATGGTAAGTTTTCCCAGTAAATGAAATTTGTGTTATTCCTGCTGATTGCTAGGAATGTGTAGTTATAATATGGACTGGCCTTGAGGGAGATACCACATAATATTTCCCAAACTAGATTCATATTGCTCCGAGTCAAAGACAATGGCAATATGGGTCTTGTGAGGGCAATATACATGTATGTGGTATCTCCTGAAAGTTAAGCCAGTCAATATTGTTATTATTATCTAAATCAGACATCTAGAGCAAATACACAACAATCTCAAAGAACTGAAAAAACTTTGTCAAACCAGCTAGCACTGTGCATCCAATGCTTGACGAAATTTTCGATACACTGCAAACAGTGTGTGCCTTACATTAATACGTCACAATAGAGTGTGCGCAAAGTGCGCAGGTTCTTGTACGCATAATAGATGCGCAATGAACATGACAAAATATGGCGCGGTGAATATGAGACTATATTTCCTGCTTTTTTAACACGTAAAGTCCATAGGCTTTTTCATGAAAGGGTAATAATGGTGTCATATTTACTGATTAGCCCTTTTAGGATTACAAACAAGTGTTATATGATTTTTTAAAACCACTGCTCAGATGTCTGACACGGGTAATAGTACACGATGGCCTGCATGTAGATCATTTTAATTCTTCCTTTTTTTGATATTCCACTCACAGGAGAAAAAATTGACAGCAGTGGATAAGAGTTATTAGTGTCTTGCGGCTTCAGTTTTCAGCTTTAGCTTCAGTTTCAGTTTATTGATTTCCATATATATACCGTAACAATATCAAACAGTTCTTTGAAAATTATAATCACACAAAAGGAAATTAGATACATTTTACAAATTTAGTCATTGATCAAGTTATTTATCAGCTTTTACAAGAAGACAAATATATTCATTTAATAGTGATATATGATGAAACCTAATAAAAAAAAGAGCTTGTAAACAATATGTTCCGTACAAAATATGATAAAGAAGATGATCAATAATTTGCCATATCATTTGAATTAAACATATAAGACTGACTAATGAAATGTAGAAAAGTGGTAGTAATTTTTGGGGTCTGATGGACTATTCTCTGGGTTGTAGGTCAGGAGGTACAGGATTTCAGTACGTACCACATAACTAATGTCCTAATAGGCTTTAATCTTTATTATGCGGCCCTCAACCCAGGAAAGTCAACATGGATACCGATAGGAAGGAAAATATTGAATGCCACAGTGCTTCATCAGAGGGCAGGGCTAGAACCTGGGCCGGTATTCAATTCAATACTTATCATAAGTAAGAAATTTACTAAGTAAAATACTTACTTATAAGCATTGTGATGTCACACGGTCAATCAAAAGTAATGCGCAATTGATGCATTGCAATAAATGCGCGCTGATATAATTGTGCACAGGTTATAATACTGCGTAAGAAAACCATATGCCTGCCAATCAAGGCCTCCAAATAATTGACTTAAGTCTGGTATGGAGTTGGCTTAGATTTAGAGTTAAATACTTTTAGTTAAGTACATTTTGTACTTAAGTATTGAATTGAATACGGGCCCAGGTTCTTATTTCCAAGCACTGAGAGCTTAATGTATTACAATGTGACATGTGCAATTTATAAGAACAGATCATCACAATTGCTTTTGTTCTTCTTTCTGATATAGTGTTCTTAGGTGGCTCATGTAACCCGACCACATGGAGAAGAGATGTAGCTATCCCACTTCTCAAACAATACAGCCTTACCTTCTACAATCCAGTAAGTATTGGTATTCCTTAGGCCATTCAAAAAAATATACATGTTTAGCGTCCCCGCCCGCTTTCTTTTTGGGGGCAGCCTCCTATTTTTTATTTTTTTATATTTTTTTGAAGAAAAAAAATGTTTAAAGAAAAAAAACATGAAAAACCGTGACTGCTAAAATGGATCTATTTCTGATCAAAAAAAAAAAAAAAATGTCGGCGGCCATCTTAAAAATAGTCTGACTGTCAGGAAAAATGTACTGAGCGGCCATTTTGAAAGAAAAAAAGAAGAAAAAAAAAGGGCCTCCTCCTTCCTATTTTTCGAAAAAACAGGACGCTAAACATGTTTTTTTTTTTATTTGGCCTTACCTCATTTTTTTGGAAAAACTATTCTTCAAATTGGCAACACCTGTATTTTTCTTTATATACTGGTATAAAAAGTTGTAATAAATAGTATTGTATCTGAAGAGAGATTGCATGGACAAAAGCTCTGTAGAAATTCATTATTTCCAGTTTTGGAAAAACATTGATATAAAACACATGTAACAGTAAATATATAATGCTGAATATATTACTCATTGCGGATGTAGTATCGAAATAATATCGCTAGTGATATTCGTTTGACTCGCAATGTGGTCAATAAGGAATATATGCTGGTTCGGCCGCTGGTTCGGCTAATGCACCAGGCCTATTGGCCGATGCATACGGTACTCAACCAATCAACGGGCCGCTGGCTCGGACCGTCTGCTGAATGGAATCGACCGTTGTTGGCTGGCAGGACGGCGAGTGTCATGGCGGCGTATTGTCCGCATCCAAAATTCGGGAATATCAATCCCGTTGTTTCTGTTGAAATTATTAGGATTGAGACGAATATTGATAGCTTCTTTCACCCTCCGTGTATACCAATGCCGTTCCTGGGAAAGGCACTGAACCCCGTCCTGCCAGCCAACAACGGGCGATTCCATTCAGCAGACGGTCCGAGCCAGTTGATTGGTTGAGTACCGTATGCGTCGGCCAATAGGCCTGGTGCATTAGCCGAACCAGCGGCCGAACCAGCGGCCTGGTGATTGGTCGATCACCGTGTGCGTCGACCAATAGGCATTGTGCATTATTGTTCCAATTATCGATCGAATTATGGACCGCTCCGCCGGTCCTCCCGTAGAGTATAAAAGACCCTTGCTTACAGTAGTTATTATCACCAGACGAAGTAAATATATTTCAAGTATTTTAGTCCACAGACTTACTGAAGAGCTCTTTAGGGTGAAGTGAATTTTATTGAGATAAAATGGATGAATGGATGATTTAAAACTTTTGAAAGATGCTAATTTAAAGGCCCACTGCACTACTTGTAGCTACTTGTGCCCTCTATATAACAAACAATGCCTAATCGGTGACCATTGGTCCCCCATGATCCTCTTTTTCTTATGTTAACTGAGAGCTGAGTTGATGAGATAACTACCTGTCCAGTGACCTTGCATGGAGGTCTAATCCCTCCTGTAAACTACGGCAGATAAGCTTTAAAGAATTTGAAAGCATGTATATCCTTTGTGAACATTTTAGGCGAAAGGAAACATTTTCTATTGCCCAAAAATGGATCTACAGTAGGTCCTGTTTCATACTGAAAACTTGTTACACTGTATCAATAACATGTGCCAAAGGTCTGTTGCAAATCTGCCAGTAGCCAACATATGCAAGGATTTCTGTAGCTTACATGTATAACAATTATCGTGTTAAATTGATAAGAAGTTTCATGAAACAGAGTGAAATGAGTCTGAATTACACAGCTATATCAAGTACACACCCATGTTGAACTAGTGCATTGAGGTCAAATGTGACCTCATTTCCTCTAGCTGTCTGACGAGTAATCTAGATGGATCTATCTATGGCACAATATGTATGCAGATTTTTAGTAGCACACTCTAGCTAGAACAATGGTTATGATCTAATTACATGTTTCATCTTCCCATTATCTTTATAGTGCTTTTTGAATCTGTTATGGTTGTGTCCATTATGTGTCATGTGTCATGCATCTATTCTGGTCAGAAATTGCATTAGATTCGTAGAGTTTGCATTTGGGTCATTCTGTGTAGTTGGAGAAATTTTTGTGACATACCAGAAGTGAGAAACCAGGCTATGTGTCCTTTATGTGTCCTTTGAACCAAATGTTTGCACAAATTGAGGTTGGATAAAAAGCATAACTAACTGTCTTTAGTTTAATAGTACGGTACTCTAGTTTCAAGGTGAATCAATATTATACACCCCAAGTTTATGTAACGGTATATGAACTTAAGCTTGAAATTATTTACCCGGTGTCCAATAATAGACACATAACAAGAGGTATAAACAGTTTTATACAATAACATAGAAGGGTAAATGGATCCAGAAAATAGCATAAATGCTAATCAACCCTGGTTTCTCTGATTGATTCCTACAAAATCTTTCAGTATGAGTAATTTTCAGCCAATTAATCTTAAAAATCAATATGCATATGGGATGAGGGCAATTCGATCATTGTGAAACTTGTTTTACTTTTATTACCTGTTACAGCAAGTAGAGAGTTGGAGTCCAGATCTGATCGAGATTGAAGATCAAGCGAAGAGGCTTGCTGATCTACTCTTGTTTGTCATTGACAACTCTACAAGAAGTATAGCATCTATGGTCGAAGCTTCGTTCCTTGCAGGTACATGGATGTTTTATCAACCCTTTCGCAAGAGTAGACATCCACAAAGAAACAGTGATTGGGGCTAATTCACTCAAACCATTGTGTATTTTCAAAGTTAAGGAAGCAATATGTAATTGTTCTTTTCAATGAAATTACTCTGTAAAAATGGTAGTATTAGTAACGATTAGAATAAACATTGAAGATGAAGCCAAAAGGTTGGATGACCTACTCCTGTCTGTTATTGACAACTCTGGTAGAAGCATGGTTTCTTGCATTTATATTTTTGAATAGTGAGCCCTTTAAAACAATAGGAAATTTATATAAGATATGCAGAAAACTGTCATTAAGCCAATTCTCCCAAGTCAGTGTATATTTCCATTGCAAAGAAGCAATGTATACTCATACTTTTTGATTAAAATGCTCCGTAAAGAATGATAATAATGATCAAAGCAGATGATCAAGCAAAGAGGCTTGCGGATCTACTCCTGTTTGTTATTGGAAACTCTGGTAGAAGCATTTAGTTTTGCCACATTTTGCCCAACTCAAACCTAATCTCTTAATCAATATCTCTGATTTTTATAAAACAATGGCTCCTTCACAGAGCTGACGGTCAGACACGCGCTTTCCATCAAGGAAGAGATGCCATTTGTCGCCATGACATCTGTCTTTAAAGCTAAAATGTAATTCAAATAAACTTTTTCTTTGTACTTTTTGTTTAGGTGCTCAGAGGCCTCTCATTTTGGTGCTAAGAGGATTGCCTTCAGTTGTTGAGAATGAGAACATATCGAAAAAGTAAGCTTGTGAAATTGATTTGTTACTGTTTTACTATTTACACCTGTCCATATGGCACTAAATTTATATAAAAAAAATGTGGTTGTAAAAGGCAAGTAGTAATAATAATAATAATTGTTCAATTTTGTATAGCGCATAATACGTTATGAAATAACATCTCTATGCGCTTCCAAAGAGCTTTGAAATTTATTACCCTAGCTTTACAGTATTTGAAATAGATCATATCAAGAAATAGTATTGTATTGCTTGAAACTTTCTAGGAAATATTTTTTAATTCAAGAGAGATCGTAAATGCACAATTCAGCTAGGGGAGCTCAAATTGAAAATGTGCGAATGTACCTTTACATGCATTAATCGCATTCATCGTGGAAAAAGCTAAGATTTGATGTTTTTCCAAATATTCTTTCAATAGTCCTTCAAAATTTATCCTCCATGCATACATCATGTATGGAGAGTCAGAAGGGTGTTACATCTATACTTTAGTACGGAGTTAACTCCTTCTGGTGCTTAACTGTATGACTTGTAGATGTTCTTATACACAATTATTCACATGCGGTTAGTGTTATTGTAAACCAATGCTACATGTATGTCACCTTGCTAAGTCCTCATTTCTTTAGTCTTATCATAATTGTGAATTTGTGATCATTGGTAAATTCTGTGGGCTATAAAAGGTAATTGGGCATGGTATTCTGAAAATCATTTTATTTTCATTTTTATTGAAATTATTTTTTAACAGAGCTTAAATTCTTTTCATTAGTGTTTTTGCAGACGTGTTTTGGGTATTCCATCGCCTCTTTGCAGTTACTAAATATTGGGGGAAGGGGCTATAAGTTTAGATTTGTTAGAACCGTTGAAATGTCTGACCCTTATGCCTCAGTCACACCTTTGCGTATTTGGCTTGCGTATCGCTGCGTATTTATGGCAAGCCGTTCTAACATTTATTTCTATATCTTGATATCAAGAAATGTTTTGCTGTTGTAAAGCACTGGTAATTCTTGATATCAAGAATTGAATGCTTGATTTAAAGAATTCAATTTCTTGATATCAAGAAGTCAATTCTTGATATCAAGAAATAGGAATAAATGTTAAAACAGCTTGACATTAATACGCAGCAATACGCAAGCCAAATACGCAAAAGTGTGACTGAGGCATAATACAGGCAGTGGAGAGCAGTGCAATAAACTCATGATTTTGTTTTTAATTGACCTTGCTTTTATGTTGAATAAACGCGTTGTTTACGTGTCGCAGCAAACCTTCCATAACTTTGGCATATGACAATGAATCTTAATGATCTTTACATTTTTGAAGAGTGGAATAATCGGTGTTATCATCAGTGTTATCAGCGAGATAATTGCACCGGACCGCACCACCTGTATATACATGTACATGTAGAGATTAAATCATATATAGAATACAGAAGCTGGGAGTCTGGATTAAAAAAAAATTAAAGAAAATGGCAATTTATAAATCATTTTGTCATGCGAATAGGTTGTGTAGGAAAATATAAATATATATATATATAGGGTGTACGCATAAGAGAAATTTTGTGAAATAAAGGGGCCATTTTCAGGGATGCCCCCAAATTGTAACAGAAAGGTTTTTTGTAACAAAGAAAGAAATCTTTTGCAAAATTGTCATACCTTTAAAAGAGGAACCTGCAACTTATATAACACAAGGCAAATTCCACAAAAATATGATACTTTTTGTGAGTTTGTAATCTATTTAAGCATTGGAATATGAATCTGTCTGCCTGAAAGGGGAATTCCAGCCTGATATTAAATTGGTTTTAATAAAAGCAGAATAATGAGAGATTACAAATTAGTGAAAGTTTTAACAATATCCGATTAAAAATGGGAAAGTTGTGAATTTTTTAAGTTGTCATCCGTGAAACACAAATTGGTAACACTGTGACGTATCTGGTACACAACATTTCATTCATTTTCATATTCTTAATTATTGGTGACGAAATAGATTTAGGACATTTTCTAAAGGGAAAATATAATTTTTTGAAGTTGTTTAGTACAGTGGAAATGGAAAGGGACCTTGCAAGATACGTCACAGAGTTGCCAATTTGTGTTTGATTGATTGCACCTAAACAAACTCATAACTTTCTTATTTTTAATCTTTTTTTTTCTCTCATTTTTCTGCTTCTATTAAAACCAAGTAAGTATTAGGGTGGACTTCCCCTTAATATCAATTGAATATTATGTAAACAGTGAAAACCATTCCTGCTAGTGAAGAAAATACCACCTTCCTGACTTAATCCATGTACATTTAAACAATTGCTCTCTTACTATTCTTTAAAAGATCTTTCCTTTGTGAAATATTTTTGTACACACCCAGTTCACTTGAACCTTTTATCACTAAACACTACTTAAATCCTAACCAATTTTATATTCTGAACTAATTAACCCTTTTTTCTAACAAGATTAAAAACAACCTTTTCTATAAATTTCCAAAACTTTATTTTGGACCATTTTTTTTAGATCCTCATATTTTTTGTTTGTATTAATAACTTAATCTGTGAACAACATTGACCTCCTAACAAATTTTCTTATCCAAACTAATTTTCCATTCTTCTACACAACCTCAATTAACACGTTAAATAAAGTTAACCTTTACCTATAAATGTCCTAACCGGGTTTTCACACAATTGAGATGTTCATATTTTGTTGGACTAAGGATATAAGATTTTAAGAAAAGTTTAAACAGCAATTTCATAGTGAAATCTTTCAAAAACACTTGGTTATAAATCAATCTTTCTTAGCTTATAGTTCTAAGGAGAACTATAGCGCCGGTTGGAGAGGATGGGTGGTAGAAGTGGCTCCAATCCTCCCCCTCTCTCACATGGTGCAACCGCAAACCTATTGTATATCTACATCACCATGCAAGCCGATACTTATAATAATAATAATAATAATAGTGGGTTCTTGTATAGCGCTCATGTCAGTCAGATTTGACCCTCCTGGTGCTCCCAGGCAGCATCTAAACAAAAATTGTCTTTAAAATAGAGTTGAGTTTCTAGAAAAAAAAGAAGAGATTGTTACTATTAATTTTCCCTGCGTGGCAGGTTATGCACAAGCAGTTGAATTTCCTTTTGTACATGTATAATTTGTTTGTATGTGCTGCACCCAGTACAAAATGTCCACAAAATCATTCTTATTATAGGATGCTTCCTTTAGGTTGAAAACGTTGTACCAAATTTGAGGTGGTTTGGACCATTGTAGCCCTTTTACGCTCTCCATCTGGAAAATAGCAGCAAATGGTCTTCTTTTTAAACCATGCAAATTCTTAGCATTAGCTTAGCTGTCATTATGTCTCTACATTTCATTAGTTTTGATCGATGTTTTTTGCTAACATGTTTTCCTTTCCCATTTCCATACTTTGATCTAATTTCTTTCAATATATCTGTTTCTTACGTTCTTTGTCACGGTGCATGGTAACTGAGTATTATTTGCTTTGCTTTTTATCCGTCGCCATGGTTACTAGAGTAGAAACACAGCACCCAAACTAACTTTCATGCCTTCACCACAGCACTACTTCCTCCTCTGCTGCCTTAACCTTTGACCCACATAATGACGATGACCCCTATGACCCCGACAGGGAACTAGCCGACATGGGGACGGCCCATGCCTTCCTCTGCGACCTAGTGGAGAGACAGTGCCTACCAATCTTTGACGATCTGGATGCCGCACTCCATTGCACAGCCAAGGTGCTGAATCAGGGAGTGCCGATATCGGACCTGGGGCTGAGCGATGGAGCTCAACCTGTGAAGTATCCAGACGTCAGGATTGGACTGAGACTAATGTAAGTGCCTCATGATAAGTGGCTGAAAAGGGGGAAGAATGTGGCGGACCTGGAAGGGGGAGGGGGAGGGGGAGGAACCAAAAGTTTATAACTAAACCAAGGGGTTCCCATCTTAGAGTTGGGATGAGCAATGGAGCTCAACCTGTGAAGTATCCAGACGTCACGATCGGACTGAGACTAATGTCAGTGACTCATGATATGTGACTGAAGAAATGGAGAAAAAAAAATGGGGTTTGAGGGGGGGGGGGGAAACAAAAGTCAAAATTGATCTTTTTGGGTTTCCTTTACTACTGATGGATTTCCTTTTCTTTTGTGCTGAGAAGAGCATTTTGTTTTTGTTAGTACCTGTAGGCGAGCAGGGACTCCTATGAGTAATGTATGATTCATGCCTTGCAATGGTGCCCTGACCTATGTTTGAACTCTGGATTTTTCCAGTTCCACACTTACTACTGGAGTGCCCTTTAAAAATCTCAAAGATATTTACATGTGTCAATTACTTGTTGACAGGAAACAGCTCAGTGAAATCAACTTTCAAGTGTTGATTACATTCTTGTAGTCTTGTAGAATGCATTCCTAATGAGTCAATTACACCCTGAAACCAACAAGAGAAATATGTTGCACCTGTTGTTATTAGATATGTAGTCAACAATGTGCACCTGTCAAAAAAATACTTTGTCTCAGTCCAAGTAAATAAAATTCTTTAGCAAGTTAATATCATTGCTTTCCAGCATTCGCTTTTTATCCTTAAAGTACAAGTCCACTCCAAATATAACTCAATTTTAATAGAAGCAGAAAAATCAGACAAACTAATCATAATAAGTTTGAGCGAAATTGGATAACTAATAAAAAAGTTATGAATTTTTGAAAAAGTATGTAAAACTAAAGATTAAAGAACAATGGAAATCACTTCACAAATTGCCAATTTAATTATCAGTTTGTGACATCATGTCCTCACTATTTATCAATTGCTTAGTTTATCAAAAGTCACATTTTTCATGATTTAACTTATAAAAAATTACTCTGTATTAGTGCATCCATACAAAAACATATTTCTATCAATCTAACTTGGATGCTGGTGTGGAAAAATAAGATGCTTAGGGGGAAAATAGGAAATTTATATTATCAATATAAAGAAAACAATTAGTGGATAGTGAGGACATGACGTCACAGACTCGTGAGTAAATTTCCAATTTGTCTTGTGAATTTTATTGTTCCATAGTTTTACAGACTTGAACAAAAATTCATAACTTTCTTATTAGATATTCGATTTTGCTCAAACGTTTTTTTGATTGGTTTGTCTGATTTGTCTGCTTCTATTGAAAGTAAGTTATTTTTGGAGTGGCCTTTAATATAGTGTCCATCCCCATTTCCATTAAAAAAAGGCATAAAGGGAGAGAAGCAATGTTTAATCAGTTTTTTTTCTTTCAGTGTAAAAAAACATACATCAAATCTAATTCAAGCACAATATGAATTATTTATTGGGGGGGGGGGGGGGGGGGAGTATATATAACGAGGATTAAAGTGCATTATCATGGATACATTTCAGAACTTTTTCCAGTGCCATAGGTTAATACTTCTGTACTTCTTTGCTAATTGTTATGCATATAATTTCCCAATGTCCATGTAAGTATTATTTCAAAGCTGAATTACCGACCAACATGTTAATTACCTGTGTCATCCATGCTTTTTTTTTAAATGTGTGGATTTTGTTTTTGTTTTCAGAAACCTGAAGGAAACTTTCAGGACATACGATCCCCAAAAGACTGGCTTCATAGCATTAACAGACGTAAGTAGGAATGTCAACTTAAAGATAAACTGCAGTTCTGGTAAAAAAAAGACAATGAATTCTTACAGAATCAAACAAAATTTACACTGAATGTTCAAGATTACAAATAAATGTCATTTGCCAAATAATTTTGGTAGAAAATGTATACTGGCTGAGTAATTAGCATAGAAAGATAAGGAAATCAGGGTAGTACCAGCCCCGACACCACGTGTGTTGTCCCATATACATCTTTCCGTGTACAGTGCTTGTTACTTTACCAAGAAAAGCCCCTAATGTGTCAGACATGAGCGCTATACAAGACTCCACTATTAGTAACCTGGAGATATTCAGGAAACAAATTGCTTTTAATCTCTGTGTAGTAAAAATAGAGTGAAATTTAATTCAACTTCGGTATTCAAAGCATTGATATCATCTCTCATTCATATATTTCTCAATTTCTGTTTTCCAGGCAGTGCTAGCTATGACGTCATTGACCCAGATTTTACTTTTCAAAGCATTTATTTATTAATTAATATAATCTTACTTATACATCTTGCAGTTTTTGAAGAAAAAAACTTCTCTAAATTTCTGTTTTGCAGGCGCTGCTAGCTATGAGGTCGTTGACCCAGAGAGACCTGTCTTTCCCAGCTTACGATCAGATCATGAGGAGTTGCAGCAAATCAGGGGACAAGCCCGAGTTTGACTACAACGAGTTCTGTTGCCTTGTGACGGAGTATCTTTTCTACCAACCTGCCCGTACTGGCCTTTCAAAGATCTTCCAATCTACATACAGTGAGTTTTTGAATAGGTTACAGCTATTAACTCATATCCTGCCATATAAGGCTGCATGCACGCTACCGTTATTATACAAATAATGAATGGTTATGAGTTCAATAGTGCGAATATTTTCATGAGTTGAAAGATTAACATTTAACTCAACGAGGCATCAGCCGAGTTGAATAGAATTAACGTTAATCGTTCAACGAATGAAAATATTCGCACTATTGAACGAATGAAAAACATTCATAATTTGTTTTATACAAAATCGAAGAAGATCTAATAGAACGTTAATCAACAAATTATGCTTTACTCCTTATATTAAAGATAAATTAAAGTTAGAGTCAAGCCTTCTCGATTACATTCAGATTGCCTTCGCGTCAGATACACGCAGGGATCGCGCACGGCAGAGAGGTACGCATATAACCAAAAATTCACGGCGCATTTAACCAAAAATGCACGCCCATACAATATAACATCTATTGAATATCATGTGACCAACAATCCTCCAATCAAATGACAAGGATCCACGTAGGTGTTGTATAAAGTGCTTTATTCACGCGAGCCAGCTACCGCTTCGCTGTTTCATGCATGTTTGCTCGCATTCGCAATAGCAGTTATTGTTCATGCCCATTGTACTGTGCTGAGTGCTTCCCACGCGCTATAGATCGTATCATCAGATTATCAGATTATCTCAAAATAAACTTGGCAAGGGGGGATTTGTTGCTTGGCACAATGGGGATTAGCCCTGTGGCTCTGGGCTGTATTTATTATGGCACGATAAGAGTTAAGGAGACGTGATGCCTCAGTTGTAGAGCAGTGGTCATGTAATCAGGATTTCCCGGGTTCGAAACCAAGTCGATGTGCTAGTGCCCTTTGGTAAGGCATTAAATCCTCATTACCAAGTCCCTTGGAGAGGACTTAAAGCCGTTGGTCCCCTGGTTGCTTACTAACAGGCATACACATGCTTTCATAGCAGTAGGTTAAAACAACCCACCATCAACTCAATGGTTTTTTGTTGCGGATCGTATAGGATAACAGCTTGGAATATGGTGGGGTTTTAGGCTTACATGTATGTCTGGAATAATGGTATAGCGTTAAGATTATGGTTAGAGCTATAGTGTAATGGGTTCAGATTGAAATTTAACTCAATGAGTTAAATTTCAATCTGAAACAACATTGACTGCATTTAGTTCTGCTTTCTTGTGTTGGAGTATATATTAATCCAACCTGCACACAGTAGCCTTTTAAAGTTCTTCCAATGTACACAAATTCTGTGGCCCGTATTATGAAGTCGGGTTTAAGTCTAGTCTAAGTCTCGCCTAACTCTCAGATTTAAACCTAGGTTTAACATTACGTTTCTGAAGTGAGGTTTAACTTAAACCTAGGTTTAAGTCTGGTCTAACTTTGTAGAAATTGTACAGATATTTAGACCAGGGGTACACCTAGTTTAAGTTGGGTCTAATTATTTTTTGAAATGGCTTATTTATTAGATATCGAGAGAAGAAGAAACCGTCAAGACCAATAACTGCAAATAATTAGATTATATTTTTTTGTACACAACAATTATATGATAGAATTGTCCATGACTACCTTAAATCCGCTGATCAAATTGCCAATTTGAGATACACAAAGATTAAGTGATCTCATATTTTGATCATTTGTAACTCTTGGGCCATTTTATTTAACGTTTTCGCCATGCTGCTTCTCGTATTTTGCTCCTTTTTTCAATAGTTTGATTGCCTTTTCACTTTAATCCCTTCATCAACCTGTAGGGTTCTTCCGTCAGTTTGGGCGGAGCGATCTCGACGATGAGGAGGAGGTGGAGATCCAACGAGATGTCTTCCTTGGGGGATCATGCAGGGATAGTCATTGGAGAGAAGAGATTGTCATCCCAATCCTCAGGTTTGTTTGAATACCATTTATTTAGTTTTTAGTTTCATTGTAATTCTCCTTACAATTTATTCATTACTACAATGTAAGTGGTGACCTTTTATCAAATGTTGTCTCTTTGCGTCAAGAGATTGACATGGACAATTTGGGGGCTTAAGTGCTCATTTGTACTGAACAGTAGACTAGAGCAAGGAACTAAATTGAGCTCATTATTCATCAATCCTTATACCGGTAGATGTAATTAAAATAAAATAGCAAATTTGGTTAAGATTCAAATCAAGTAAATAGTAGAAAATACAGGCACTTGAAGTTAACACCTTTTTGTGGTTTCAAGTTTCAAGTATATTTATTTCCACTTTATCAAAGATAACATTATTGAACATAATGAACATGGTAATAATTATAGCTAAACATACAATATAGAAACAATAGTTATAACAAAAGATACAATTATAAGTATGATATTATTGCATAAAAAACTAAATAAAGTGGGGGATCTACTGAAAAGCAAAACCTGTATTATGCAGGTCCCAGTTAATAGGTTTGTATATACATTTTTGTGATAATGTATCACATCGCAAGTTTTTGTACAATTTTGCAAGCCATGGCGCTTTCTCCATGACTCTCATGAAATATCAAAATTTGATTTTTTAGCACATGAATGTTTAAATAAGAATTCATGCTCTATTGGCTACCAGGGTAAATATGTTGATAAAAGATCAGAGATATTTGATTGGAGTGATTTTAGCCAAGGCAAAGCACCTTATGGAAGTTACAATTGGGTACCTGATACGATGCAAACATCATTGTGGTTTGGATGAAAATGGCTGGAATGCTCCCTGTGAAGCGGAGAATGTGTATTTTAGATTTAAAATTGTAAGTTTCATACAGTGAAAAGTGCAATATGTATCATTCTTTGAATCGTTACTTTAACTTAAAAGGCTCTGAAATTATATCAATTCTAAAAAATGTAAAATTCTCCCAATAAAGTGGAGAGTATGTAGTTTAAATTTAGAATTGTAAGTGTCATCCAGGTGACCGGTTTAATACACTGTATCATGCTTTGAATAGTTAGAAAGGCTCTGAAATAGATTACACACACAAAAAGGCACACTAAGAATTGGAGCAGACTTTGCCTTTTGAATGATGTTTGAGTTTATGCAAATTCTAGTTTATTTTGTTCTTTCCATCTTCCAGGAAGAATGGCTTGACCTACTTTGACCCCGTGGTGCCCAACTGGAATCTTAGATACCTCCCTCTAGAGGCCCAAGCCAAGGATAACTGTAACTACCTCTTATACGTCATCAACAATCTATCCAGGTCAGCTGCTTCCATGGTGGAGGTAAGATAGTATAGATATAATGACTGCTATGATAGGCATAGCTGTTTCTATAGGCTCACAGGGACGTTACATCCTGCCATGACCCAAAGGCCTGCTGCGGCAGGTGGTGGGCTGAGGGGTCACGGCAGGATGTAACGTCCCCTAGAGCCAGTATAGAAACAGCTATGCCTCGAATATTAAAGCAGTCGATATATCTTTTGTATACCGAATTCACAAACAAATCTAAAAAGAATTCTTACCTTTTTCTTTTATTTTTTAAAATTTTATTCATTTATTCTCCACTCATGGGATGGAATGCCCTTGTCAGCTATTAGCTGTTTTTCAAAGGGGTCCAAGCCAAGATAAAAACATAAAATCAGAATAATCAATACATGTATATAAGTATTTACATAATATAAAACTAAAATATACTAAAAGTATACTATCTACAACAACAACAATAACATCACTATGGGGGAAAGCATCTACAAAACGAGGAATGTGTCTGTTCATGGTAAAAACGGATAAGGGAATAACGAAAAAAAATTATGAATAAGAAGAAAAGAAAGAAAACAAGGGTTCTTGTATTTTTAGCTTAATATGTTAAATATAGGGTGTTAAGTCTGTCTGCTAAGAATGGTCAGGATGATGGGGTTACTATTTATGTGACGCTTACAGGCTTCAATTGATACAGTGGTGGAATTAGGGTAATTCAGCTCATTCCAAATCTTGGCCCCCGATAAGAGAGTGATCTTTTCCCGTAATTGGTCTTCGGTTGAGTGAGTCTTAATTTATGCGGACCGGACCTTGTACAATATACTGATTCATGAATACAAAGATACTGCTAAGATAAGGTGCACAAATGTTATGAACAGAGCAATACATGCTAATAGTTTGGACCATTGTATATATAAGCGATTTAATTTCAAGGTATCATATAAATTATTTGAAGGATACATATAATCAACATTCATAACGATACAAAGTGGTCTATTTTGTAATACTTGCAATTGACTTAGGTGAGTCTTTAAAGCATTTGCCCAGACTGCGCTACAATAATAAAAATGGCATTGAATAATTGATTCATAAAAAGTCAAAGCAGTGATCTGATTAATGTATGGACGCAATCTTTTCAAGAGACATATACATTTAATTACTTGTTTCTGTACATGATCAACTTAATTTTTCCATAACATATTTTGATCAATGACAACACCTAGATATTTACATGATTGGACCCTTTTAATTTCCTTATTATCTATATACATATAACAATCATCAATAATATCGTGTAATCTTTTCAAATGCTGCTGAGTGCCTATAAACATTACTTCACATTTGTTTGGGTTAACCATTAATTTATTATCTTTTAATCAGCATGATAAACTTGAAAGATCTTCATTTAGTTTGTTACAAACTTTGACTGGGTTTTTTGATGACGTAAAAATACATGTGTCGTTGGCATATAATGCTATATCACATAAGTGCACATTATGGGGCATATCATTAACAAATATTAAGAATAATAGAGGGCCCAACAACGAGCCTTGAGGTACCCCGCATGTAATTTCAATTTCAATGGTCGATACATCATTAAATACAAATGAAGTTACATTAGGAGTGGCAGTCATTGGATTTGCATTATTCCCATTATTTACAAAAGTATCATGTAAAGATACTTATACCAATTGTTGAAAATAATCATTAAAAGAGTTAGATAATTCTTGTCCACAAATAAAGCGATCATTTACTTTTATGGAAGAAACTCAGGATTCAGTTTCTTTTCGGGTATTAAATATCGCAATGTTTTCCAAATCATTTTCACATCTCGTACAGCCGATTCAATTTTGTTGAAATAAATTACGCTTCGCTCTACAAATATCAGCTGTAACACTATTGCGAGCTTGTTTATAATTATTCCAATCATCCGTTTCTTTCGATCTTTTGGCCTTTCTTTTCGAGCGTTCTCTGCAACAAATTAATTGTAAGATATTGGGTGTCATCCAAGGGGATTCTTTTTGTTTATTTCTAGTTTTTCTGAGTGGTGCATGTTTATCAACCACCTTCATTATTAATGAGAGGAAAACTGAGCAAGCTACTTCTGGATTATGCATTTCGTACATGGGATCAAAGTCAATATTATTTATATCTCTTCTAAATGCTCCGTTATCAAATATCTTCAAATTTCCCCCTGTTATATACTTATGAGTATTACTATTAAAGCACCAGGGTTTTCCAATAACACAATATATCATAAAACGATCACTTACAGATACTTCAATAACACCACTCTCACTTATTTTTTGTTCATTGTTACAAAATATAAGATCGATTGTAGTAGAGGATGCTGCAGTTACTCGTGTATGTTTATCAATAAATTGTGCACAATTGTAAGATTCCATGATATCTAGAAGCTTTCTAGTATTTCATGATACAATGTTATTTGTCACATCACAATCACTATGAACATGACAGACAATGAAAGCGGACAAAATATACAGTTCCTCAGGTAGACAAAGGGACAGCCCTTCACTGCTATTATGTAAAAATGTGTAGAACAGGTGTCACATGCATATTCACCTGTTCTACACATTTTTACATAATAGCAGTGAAGGGATGTTCCTTTGTTTTCCTGAGGAACTGTATATTTTGTCCGCTTTCATTGTCTGTCATGTTCATAGTGAATTCATGTCCCCAAGAACAAGATATGGAACCCTCATATCATCAACTGTTTGAATTACTCTCTCAAACACGTTAAACACTTCAAGATTCGAATTTGGAGTTCTATACCAACAAATGGTTTTTTGTTTCCAAATTCAATTTCAGTGACAATTAGTTCCAAATTATTACATGTATCTTTAAACAGTTCATCTTTAATGTACATCGCAACTCCACCTCCGAATCTATTCCTATCGCGTCGTATGATTGTATATCCAGGAATACAAATTTCACCTTCATCAATCTTTTCACATAAATGAGTTTCACTGAGAGTCATTATATCTTAGCATAATAACCATACACCTTATTTCGTCAGTATGTTTGATTATCGATAAACAATTTAAATGAGCTATTTTAAGTCCCTTCAGTGACTTCTATAAACTGAATCATCGTCCCCATCCATAAAGTTAAGCATTTGATTATTTCTGACCGGCATAGAAATGAAAAGTACAAAACATAAGTTAAAAACAACAAACAACTACAAAGATGAAAATCACATGTTACGAAAATGCACTAATAAATAGGGCTTTCAAAACTTTTCCAGGGAAAGGGAACGTGGCAAACAAAACAGCTCATTGTTCAGCTTCAGTCACTTTCGGTTATTGTCAGCATTTCATAATGCATTTACATCATTCTCACTTCGAATAACTTTGAAAATGGTTTGTCCATTAGTAGCAGCCACTTTGGCGATTACTCTCCCATCACTTGACCATGCTGTCTCCACATTCTTCTTCTTCTTGGCAATGTTGAGGAGACACAGATTGGCCTTTGTCAGTTGTTCCTGTATCACAATCGAAGATCCTTTGAGAACCCGCCGACGGGAAATTACCGAGTGACGAGTTCGGTACGAGACGAATTTCACGTCAATGGGGGGTGGTTGCTGCGGTGGAGGTCTTCCATCTTACGCGATTGGCCCCTTGTTCAGGTTGCCCATGCGATGCGAGCGATCTATATCATCTTCAGTGATGCTCAGCCCAAGTTGGCCCAATCAGCCCAATCAGGTCATCTGTGGATTCATTCTTCTCCTCTCGGACCCCGAAGAATTGCAGATAATTTCTTCGGGAGTATTGCTCTAGGTCGGCAGATTATCCATCATTCTGCGTTGACTGTCGTCAATGGACGAGAGGCGAGCGATCATCTTTGGCTTGGGATCTATTTTCCACCTCAACGTCCATCAAGCTACTCTCCTGCTCATCCAAGCAGTCGTATAATCTGGCGAACTCCTTTTGCACAGCCTCATGAATAGTAATGTGAATCAACTTAAACAGCTTTTTGTTTTCGTCTTGGAAGCCCGAAAACATGTCATTCATGAGCTTGTGTGTGGCGTCATCTATCCCAGGCTCCGGCTCACACGCGGCCATGTTGAAATCAGAATCAAATTATCAACTATGAGTTTAAAGTTGGTGTATAAATAAATAAATGTGTATCATATATGTCTATATTTCACAATCAGATATGTTCACGAATATGTCAACATATATGAGACACAATACAAGAAGCAGTTCATATGCAGGATAATGTGCAATTATAAGCAGTGAAGGGATATGTATCTCTCACATACTATCAAAGTCATTAATCAGAAGAATAAAGATTGGTTAAAACATCACAGAAAATCTGAGACACTGTCTGTTAATCTCCGCTGGAAAGTTGCCTGAATGTTATGATCATTCAGGAATCGCACACACTAAGCAACCAAATCACACACACACTGTATGGTATCTGCGCTCGCGCAAAGAAACTGTTTATACGTGAACCCATCGGGATCTCAGCACATTTTAAAGGGAAATCCAACCTTGATAGCAAACTTATCTAGAATAAAGCAGAAAAATCAGAGAAGCATACTGACGAAAGTTTGAATGAAATCGAACAAAAAATTAGAAAGTTACGATTTTTGGAAAGTTGCAATTACTATAGGTATGGGCTCTTCAAATTGGCTGAATTGACGATGTCTATGTGATGTAGTGACGTACATGTACAGCTTTTCCATTTGCTCCAATACACAAAAGGACTAAAATTTGAACTTTTCATAAATGAATGACTCAGGATGGTCTGTTCTTTTTAGAGGACCTGTACTCTCCATGATATATATTGAGTAGTGCCCCGAGGGTGAAGGCACTTATGAGAAAAACAGAAATAAGTAAGATTTTTGTTGGCGACAAACGGGAGAGCCAATCCTGCACTACAGTGTACGTCACAATCAACTAACGAAATTGCCGATTTGAGATTCGAACAGCCGTAATGATCTCATATTTCAAACACTCATAACTTTCTTAATATTGGTCTGATTTATTTCAAACTTTCACCATTCTGTTTCTCTAATTTTTATGTTTTCATTCAAATGAACTTATTGGAGGGGTTGGATTGCCCTTAACTATTCGTCCCGTTAACCGGGGCAATGGGCATCTTTCTCATGAACTATTGACCGTTACCCGGGGCAACTGGCATTGTTCATTTCTTTGCGGGAATAGCTAAAATCACGATTCCAATTTCGACCGATCAGATAATAATAATAATACTCAGTTCTTTTATAGCCCATAACACATTACAGGATAGCATGTCCCTATGCGCTTTAAATAGAAAGGAAAGAATTACAAGAAAAAGTCATACAAATTAGAAAATCCACTTAGAAGCAAAGAAGTACATGTAGTGTTGGACGCTGAGTTCATGGGTGTACACTTTTAACCTTGAATAAATATGTTTTAAGAGAAACCTTAAACTTGTTTAAATTATTGTGATTTCTCATGAAATCTGGAAGTGAATTCCATAAAAATGAGGAGGCGTGTGTAAAAGAATGTTCACCGTATGTTTTTGTTGAGGTGGGAGGGACAATGAATAATGATTTTGAGCTTGATCTTAAAGTACGAGTAGGCCGATATAATGATAAAAGTTCACATAAATAAGAAGTGGCAATGTCATGAAAGCATTCGTATGCAAAAACTAATAGTTTAAACAAAATACGGGAGTGGACAGGAAGCCAATGTAGATTTCGTGGTACAGGAGTAATTGATTCGTATTTCCGAGTTTGGGTCACTAATCTTGCTGCTGAATTTTGAATAGTTTGCAATTTTTGATTTGTCGCTGAGGAAGACCGAAAAGAAGACTGTTACAAAAATCAATGTGGCATAAAACAAATGCATACATGCCAACTGTTCAGATTAAAGAGGAACATTCCTCTTTTTGGGAGAAGATAATTATCATTTTAATGCAGGTGTTCCTCTTCCTGTACAAATTTGTCTGTAGTATTGAATAGGAGAGTTAGGATTGTTCCTCTTTTTTTGAAAATAGCATAATTTGTACAGATTTCTGATTTTCAAATGTTGGCATGTATGCAAATGCATGGATTAATTTTTCAGTGGTGGGCCTATCCAAAAAAGCACGTATTTTTTCAATCCTGTACAAAGCATACGAAGCAGCGCAACATTTTTGAGATACAAAATTTTTAAATGTCAACCGACAATCAAAAATCACTCCTAAGCTTCTACAAGATCTGTTTGCATGTAACAATGTCCCATCTAGATCTATAGACTGAATAGATTGCGTTTCTCGAAAACGTGAAAAAATGTGGAGGAACTCTGTTTTACTAGTGTTTAGCTTCAGGCTATTTAGCTGAGACCACTCCTTGATGGCGTGTATACAGTTTAAGATTTCAGTAGTTGGATCAAAATCATTCGATTTTTTTAAAGGACACATACAGTTGCGTATCATCCGCATAGAACATCTTTTGTATATGATACCTATCTATTATGGACTCCAGTGGAGAAATATAAAGCGTAAACAAAATAGGACCTAACACAGATCCTTGCGGAACACCTTGAGTTAAAGAGTGGGTGGATAATCGTTCATTTCCAATAATAACACGATGGCTTCGGCCCAACAGATACGATTGGAACCATTTCAGAGCCTGGTCACAAATTCCAAGTTTGTGTTCCAAACGCTTCAAGAGATTGTCGTGATCTATGGTGTCAAAAGCCGATGAAAAATCTAGTAATATGAGAATTACTTCTTCACCCTTGTCTAATGACATCAGTATATCATTTGTGACCCGAAGAAGAGCTGTTTCGACTCCATAAAACTGACGATAACCTGATTGGAATTTGGCATAAAGATCATTTTCTTTAAGATAGGCTTGCAACTGGGAAGCTGCAAGCTTTTCTAAGATCTTGGCGAAGAATCTTAGATTAGCGATTGGACGATAGTTCTTTAAATCTTCTGTATTCAATTAATTTGGGTAGGATATTGGCACACTTAAATTTATCGGGGACGCACCCAGTTACAAACGAATCATTAACAATAGTTGTCATGTTTGGAACCAATTCATCTAAGAATTTTTTAAGAAAAGGAGTTGGAATGGGGTCAAGATCGCATGTCGTTGAGGAAGATTTCATAATACAACTATGTACTTCTTCATCAGTTACTGTTCTGTAATGCCCAAAAGATGATGACCTGTATCGCTCTTCGACAAAACATAATTCAGTAGCATTGGAGGTGGAGGACTGTAGCTGATGTGTGATGTTTTCTACTTTCTCGACGAAGTACATAACAAAGTGTTCTGCTAATGAGTCACCAGCGCCATCAGTGGTTGGAATAGTTAGAGAAGTGGTAGGCCGCCTCAACTGTTCAAGTTCATGCGGGGTACATTCTCTAAGCTGATCACGATGATGCTTACTCCTTGCAGATCCCAGCTGGTCTGCTGGGCTGATGGGCTGCTTTTTGGAAATTCTCACGATCAATTTCCAATCCATTCGGAAAAGCTTTTCGTTCTAGCGCTTGGAGTTCCCGCTTGAGCTGACGGAGATCATCACAATACCATGGAGATTCAGGTCGACTTGTGATGATGCATGTAACTTCAGGGGCGTGCTTGTCAAGGAGAGAGAAAAGCGAATACTCAAACTGGTCATCCTGTTCTTAACATTGTTGGAAGAAAATGAGTTTAGTTCAGACAAAAGAATGATGAAATGCCTCAATGTTAATTTGTTGTATTTTCCTTGTTCTAATCTTCACCTTAATGGGCTTAGGTTTACAAATATTCATGGAGCATACAATGACATGATTTATTCAAAATGCTAAAGAGAGGTATATAATATATACTATTGAGGGGGGTAGGTTATCCAACATTTGCTCCAGGCTTTACTTTTTCAAAGAATAGGGTTAGGGTTAGGGTTAGGGATGCAATTGGGCTTTAGGTGAAGTTTAGGATTAGGGTTAAAGTTACATTAAGTACATTGTACAAGTACAAGCAAATTGTGTAGGGCCTCTCATGTCAGGGTATATTTCAAAACTCTATCATGCCTTTATTCTGACATTGCAATGCCTTGTTCATTCTAGGTTGCACATTACATCGGTCAAGATCGCAATGTAGTCCTATGCATACAGGATCTCACAGATGGAGTGGTGGTCGACGGAGAGGAGGTAATTATGGAAATTCTAATACTCATCTGTCTATATGCATGGTATTTCATTGTAAAGAATAAGTGTATACCTCTTGGGTTCTAACCATTAACAAAATTACTTACATTATTATGATATCACATGATTCATTACTCCAATGATTAATTACTCCAATGATTACAGATTCATGAATAGCTTGTGCCAGTTATGTAATTTTCAGAAATGGTGGAGGGGGAGGGGGGGATTCGGCCATCTCATGTAGGGTCAAAGGGCAATGGAACTTTCATTAAACTTTCTCTAAAAGTAGGTTCAATTGGAAGCATAAATGTTAAAGAAGTGGTTAAAGAAACAGAAATGAGGATTTGGAGGAGATAATCTCTTTCTCTCTGTCATAATACCATCAATACTAAAAGCACAATATCCATCATGAATACTTCCAATTAAAAATTGCCCCTCTTCTCCCCCCTCTCGACTTCCCGTTAGCTTACACCTAGGGCTGTCAAGGACTACAACAGAGGGCGCCAGTACCTGGCTGACGTGGCCAGCCGTGAGCGCGTCCCGATATTTGAGGATGTGACGGAGGCGACACATGCACTTGTGGAAAGGATCAAAAGAGACCAAGAGAAAGTGATGAGGGAGAATCCGTCTCCCTCTCACCATGCGTGTCACATCCCTGCAACCCCCCAGAACCCTGGGGATCCTAGGTCGCCCATGTCCTCCTGTCTTGGACTATGATACAAACAAGAGCCGATCGAGCAAACGCTCTCCTCTTTTCAGACTTGCCACACTCCTCCCCAGAAACCAGGGGCACATGTACATGTGGCTTAAATGCTTCTGCTGTGTCTTGGACTTGATGGACATCACCAGGGGTAATTGATGAGGAGATATAACCCCTTCCAATCAGAATACATTCATTGTAAGAACCTATGACACCACTGCAATCTATGCTACACTTGAAATCTATGCCTAAATTACCTTTCTTTCAAATATACCTGGAATTTGTAATGAATATAACGGTAATCCAGGGAATCAAAAGTGATATGTAGCAAGACATTCAGGTAGTAGAGTTTGCAGTAATGTCTCTGTACAATGTATATAGGTGAGATAGAAGCAAATTTCATCTAGGTGCGATTTCCTAGAAGTCAAACGAAGAGCAGAGACCAGAATTACACCCCTCATTGCTGATTAAAATTCTTGCCATAGTCCATTCATCAAAGCATAGGGACAATGTGGCAGTGATATGCTCTATAAAAGCATTGTATTATTATTGATATAGTAGTGAATGAAATTTATGTGAGAACCAAAGTACATTATAATTTGAATGCTTCTGTCACGAGAGCTGAAAGCTTTATGTTTTCGGGCTGTCTGTCTGTATGTCTGTCCGTCCCGCTATTCATTACTGTGGTTACTGTGATAACTTGAGAACTATTGAATGGTTGTTAACCAAACTTGGATGGAGGATGTATGAGCAGCGAAGGATGAAGAGATTAGATTTTTTGTGGAAGAGGTCAAAGTTCGAAGGTCATAGGGTTGTAAAAGTGCTAAAAAATGAAATATCTTGTTACCGCAATGGTAGGAAAAGCATTGAAGCAATTCAAACCAAACTTAAATGAAACATGTATGAGCATGCAGGGATGAACTGATTAAATATTGGGTTTAAGAGGTCAAAGGTCGCAGGTCATGAAAGTGTTACAAAGTCCAGAAAATATCTTATTACTGTGATAATTGAACAAAATTTGAACGAATGTTGCCAAACTTTGCTCATATATGTAAAACCACTCAAGAATTTAAGTGACAAGCATTTGGGTCTGTGGGGTCAGATATGTTGAAGGTCACAGGATCATTGATCAATGAATTTACATGTAGGCGGAGGGATATTAGAGCGCAGTCTTATTTATCTTGTTTATGTTTATTGTTTGTATGATGTCAACAGTGTTTGCAATTATTTTTAGAAGAGTAAATGTGATGACGTACGTTGTTGGCAAATGATTTGCACTACCAAAGAGTAGGAGGTGTTTTTAAATTTTGTATTATGTGTTTTTTGCCTATGCTTTCCCTTTTATAGTTTGAAAGCAATGAAAGTTCAAGGACTTCCTATTTTAATTGTGTCCATTTATAGCCGGAACCAAACCAAAGTCATTCAATTCATGAAATGTTGTTCAAATGATGTTGTAGAATGCTTCCCCCTTTGTCGTTATAGAACAAGTATACCATTTCTGTATAGCACTTTCCATGTAGATAGAAGTAGTCTTGTTGTACAGTCTGTAATGAAATATTACCTAGTAGCTGATATACGTGTACATAAATAGTTTTAAAAGAAATACACCGCATGAAAGTGATAGCATGCTTTTGTTTGTATTTTGAAGATGTATATGATCATACCGCCCCCCCCTTATAGACAGAAAACTTATCGTCTGCCGAGAGCCAGGAGGGCATTAACTAAATTCTTGTCCAGATAGTTAACTCTCTTCTGTCTCTCATCAGACCAACTTTCACATCTAAACTATGGATCCATACTAGACTTTGTGGCAATATATCATCACTAAGGGAAACATCTATACCTACATAAATATTGGCCGGTGATTATTTTTAACTGGTTCTTATTTTACGGTGGTTAACAAACTTTTATAGAACTTATTGTTGTGTTGCAAATTTGAAATACACACTTTGAAGATCAGGATATTATTCGTCATTTAGTAAATTCTCTTAAAAAAAAGAATATGGCAACATTGTTAGCATTTCAATCATGGATTTTAGAATGATGTATTTCTTTAGGCATGAGAGAATTTTTGTGGAAACACATTTTTTGATACTTTGAAAGATGCAATATCACTGCTCTTCACAGGTTCACATGTTCAAGTTTGAGCTTTGTTAAATTTAATTGATATGTGAGACAGAAAGACATAGATTCATTCATATCTGTAGTTTTTATATTGAAATTATGATGACAACATATTTTTGATACCCAAGGAATACGTTTTTCCATCAGGTTTACATAAATATGAACTACGATATCCTATAAATTATTCCTCTTAAATACAATTGATAATTACCAACACTTCAAATTGGTTTTCATAGTACAGTGGGGACAATGTACACAAAATAAAACCCATGTATTAAAGAGGACAGACATTACATGGGGATAATATGTAAACTCTTCATGGAGTATTTAGAAAATCACTATTCTCTTGAAAGAATTGCAATCTATTTGTCGTGGAAATTCATACATGCACATACATGTATCTAAATGATATTGTGTGATTACTACGTTTACTTTCTAATCTACTTTTCTTGTATTGTGATTTTTCTTGATGGTCAAACAGAGGGGAATTATGTATGATATAAAATTAAGGCAACTGCTTTGGTTCTTCCATTGTAGGGGAAATACGATTCCCCACGTGGTGCTATTAAATACTTAAACGATAATTATGTGTATTTGATTGACCGACTGTACATCAATATGCAATTTATGTGAAGTATATGTACATATATATGTTTACATTTTGTACAATGTTATATACCCCGGTAATGCCTTTTAAGCACTGATGATGTCATTGGATCTATATACATATACCTGATAACTTTGTAGCACCTCTTAGATAGTATTCGATCACGATGCCTAGAATTACCATTACGTATGACCTCAGATAACCTCTGACCTCTGTTTTTATAATTACCACACTCATCAAAGGTCAATTAAATATGTACATTGTAACCTCATGTTCCTGCACAATGAAGGAGTGCTATCCTTCTTGAAATAAAGAAGCAAATAAGAAATTGTGCACCAATTTCATTGTAGTGTTGTAATGAAGACACAGTTCAGATTTCCAATAGTTTTTGCATGTATAATATTATAGTCTGTTTGAACCCATGAGGGCCTTAACATGTATCATTTAACACAGGGTTAAATGCCATTGTGGCTTCAGACAATATATTCAAGAAATGTAGACCTATATGTATCTCAATAACCAAAACTACATACTACAAACCATTGCTGTCTTTACTTTTGTTCTGAGCCATTTCTAGGTTGACATTTATAGAAACCACTTCCTTATATCGGAATGAGTGTCTTGTGATATTGTGTTTATTAACAACGACACTCTTTTAATGATGACAATGATGACTTTTTATAACAATATTACTTGAACGTACACAATTTCCACTTTCATGTCTTTTGTCTGTTTTTTTAATACCTTACTCTTGTCATCTTTTTTAAATGTGGAAACATATTTTTGAGGGTTTGTGATATTATCAAATCCCTTGATGCTATTGAATTTAAATCAAATTAAATCGCAATGTCAGGTAGCCAACTCATGCTGCATTCAAATTACATTACACATTATCTAGCGAGTGAGGCGAATATGTGGAATTCTATTTCCAAACTGAAATTTCATATAAATGTTGTACAAAAGCTACTTTTGTAGACAAATTGGCTTTTTTCATTCAGTGAAAAGGCCAAAATATCTGTGAAAGAAAGCATGTACATATTTTTGGTGCAATATTTTTGTTATCTCACATTTTATAGGAAAATTGACATTATTTGAATGTACAATCAATGAAGATAATGTGGAAACTCGAATACTTTCAAATCATATTCTTTAGAAATAGATCAGTTTTCAGAAACAAATTTTCTTTCGTGCTGTTTTCAGGTAGGTCTTGCTTTGATTGAATTCACTTACAAAATCTAATTTAGAGGGATTTCAATACCCTATTGTAATGCCTAAATAAATCTTGTGTGGATTGTGTAGTAACTCATCGACATGTTCATCCATTTTAATTGATGAGGCACAAGGTGATTTGTCCTATTTTGATTTATAAAAAAAACCCTTTTCAGTCGAGTGTTTTTTATTCGATCATTTAGTTCTTGCATTTGTGAAAGTATGCTTTGATACTATTCTTATGGCATGAGAAATTGAGTTTGTATATTTTTACCCCGTTTTGCAATGATGCCAAAAATACTTTGGCAACCTTTGTTATTAGATGTAATGTAAATCTATATTTTCAAAGTAGGAATATACATTTAGAATTGCCTATATTCGACTGCTGTGTCCTCCGCACATTGTTGCCGTACACTCCTTCAAATGAAATGTCGATTTGAATATTGAAAATTATATCAATAAAGAGAAATTTATTTGTTAAGATGATTAGTATGTGTATGTATAGAAAGACATCTTCGTGTCAATCCATTACCACAAATAGTAATTATCATATTAATTAAAAAAAATATGTCAGCTGTGAAGGTGAATCTTTCAATGATTAGTCAGATAATGGCTATGTAATCATAATTTTTTTGTTTGTAACCTTTTATTTCAGGTAAACAGATTTTGGTGTTGAGGAAATAAGTGTTTTGCGTCATTCTGTTACTATGAAATTACCCAGAGTGTATACGATTCTACTATTATATGTCCATTTCACTTGAGAATTTATCGTTATTTTTTTTGAAAGTCGAGTTTATTGCCAGATGCATTGAATATGTGCAACACTCAGTATATGAAATAATGCAGTCCAAATTTATACCACGATACTTTTATATATATCTTAAAATAGTGTTGAGTGAACCTATGACAGACATGTAGTAAGTAAATAAAAAGTACACCAGATTTTGATTAAAAACGTTTTATTTGTAACCAAGCTTAATTTGTGGATGGTTTAGAGGTACTTTTAAATCCAACAACTGAGTTACCTTTTATAATAAAAACAGTATAGAGATATCGACTGCTACGAGAAGACTGGCTGTTTTTATACGCTCAAGGGAAAGTTTCATCCGCAGCTATCACCCCAAGGCGCGCCTAGGTGGGCGGCGCGCCGAGGGGTGATAGCAGGATGCAACTTTTCCGCGAGGCAGTATAGAAACAACCAGTCCTTGAATATTATAGCAGTCGATATCTCTTTTATATATCGAATTGACACAAAAATCTACCAAGAATTCCTACCTTATTCTTTTCTTGAGTAAAGATTGGATAAAACATCACAGAAAATCTGAGACACTGTCTGTTTATCTTTGCTGGAAAAAAGACTGAAAGTTTCAATAATTTGGGAATCGCAGACAAAAAGCACTGTATGGTGTCCGCGCTCGCACAAACAAAATTATAACACGTAAACCAATGGGGATTGCAGTATGAGGGCACTTTTCAAAAGACTATTGACTGGTAGGCGGGGCATGGCTAAAATCAACTCCAATTTCGACCAATCAGATTGCTAGATTTCTAAAGTGAGGTATATAATTGCAAGTGACATAGCGCCTCTATAGCACTTTGAGATGCCATCCAAGCAGTGACAGTGTGAGTTTAGTGAATGCGTATGGTTTCAGAATAGATATGTCTTCAAACTCTGTTTGAATTGTTCTCTTGTTGATGATGATTTCAATTGAGGAAGGAGCCTGTTCTAGAGCTTGAAAGCATCTAGTATATTCAGGATATTATTGACTGGTTGAATGAAGGTCACTGACGATGCTAAACGATCGAATGCGCCGTGAATGAGAACGTCTCACAAGACACTGCCTGTTCTATCTGTCTCTGTCCGTCTTTCTTCTGTCCAAAGAACGAACCATCAAAGTGAATAGCCTGATGAAGCTTATCATACCAAAACATTCACATATACACTCGGCTTTGCAACACGTTTCATTTATGGAAAGTAAAAAGTTCATTCTCTAAAAAAAAAAAAATCTGTAAGAAATACTTTGCCAAACATATGGAACACTCATATGAAAACAGCTCAATATTTAAACAAAAAATAAAACTGACCTTTTATTCTGAGTATCGTTAAAATTACCTTCCAAACCTTTTTGCCCCCCTCCAATTTTAAATTATTTTATACATGTTTTTGTAGGGTTTTGTCTTTATATTGTGTTTATCCTTGTATTTTGTGATATTTTTAACTCATATATGCTCAATAATATAAATAATATAAATCATAATATTCGGGGAACTTTTTATACAAAGCCAACATGGGCTTTTCCTTAGTTTTCCAATTTCATTTTAAACTATTGTAATAACTGACCATTCCTTGTATGTATATATACTTGTATGTTTATTTGCATTTGCTGTGTTTTTATGAAAATGAAATAAATAAACAAACTTGATATATATATATATATATATTACATAAAATATGGGTAGATGGGGCCAATGATTAATAAAGGACAGTGCTACATTTTAATTTTACCTACTTTATCCAGAACCACGGACAGACAGATATCACTTTAAAACTGAATATTTCGCAGAACTCTCCATGTATTCTAATACATGAAGCAGCTATGTTACAGAAGAAATGAACAATTATTATACTGGTGTGTTATTTCTTGATCAATATGTGCGTAATTACTTTGTAGTTTGAAAACGGAGTATTGTACTGCACGAACTGATCGGTCATTAATCTTAAACTTTCTCTCTCATCACACTCCTATCTACATAGTTTTCATCATTTTCGTCTGACGTTTCCGTAAAAAGGTGAAAGTATTAGAGACAGAAAACAGACAAAAAGGTCGGAAGGAGAGTGAAAATGCGTTTGAAAAATTAAGGAGGTAGAAAGTGGCAATGTCTGTGTATCTTTGTGTTCGCGTGTGCGGGTGTTTGAGTGTATGTGTGATAGAGAGAGGGAGAGAGAGAGAGAAGGTGAGAGAGAGAGAGAGAGAGAGGGATAGAGGGAGAGAAAGCAATTTGCAGTAAAAGATGTGTAGAAGGAAACATATGGAAATGATGGTTGAGAGAGAAAGGGGAGGAGCTTGAGAAAGAAGTATATCAAGAGAGAGAAAGAGGGACAGGGGGAAGGGGTGGGGGAGTCTGCTACAAGTACATAAATTAACAAAGACATGCGACAGATTAATGCAGAATATTATTTAATGAGCCAATAACTACGCCTTAGTACATACTTTGAGAGGAAACTTGAAGTAAGGTGGACAAGGTATTTTATAATTGGTTTAAAGTAACCAAGAAATCAGGTAAGGAATGTAAAGTAATAAATACATTTAAATATGTATTAAGTAAAATGAATGGTGAAACATTTAGTTATGCAATAAGTGAAGATTTTTTAGAAAATATAGCCAATCGAAAGAAGAAAAACACACCTCTCAACATGAAGGTCTTGTTCTTGAAAGGAGGCCAAATTAAATCATGACCTAACTTACTCTCTAGATACAGCATTGGAAATCCATTAAGAGTAGTTGAATTCACTCTCAATAGAGTACTACAAACCACTACATTGGAGTAGATTCCTTTATAATTTGGAGTGGATTCAACTCTTAATGCAGTGATCGCTGATATGACTCGTAAAAGAATGGATTTCCACTCCTCTGTTTAAAATGGAGTAGTCCCCTGATGAAGGGAGCACAAAGAATATATTTCACCATTGTGTATACATTATTTACTGTGTGACAAAACGAATTCATGCATTTAGACTTTAAGGTATAGGCAAAAGGATGACTTATTGCACGATAGCTGTTTTTTATGTCAATGATTTGGTTTTAACAATAGTACGGTACGAAGAGATTTCCAATCCGAAAATCAGCGTAGGTTTTCAACTCATGTAGGAAAGTGCTTATCAATAGCCAGAAATACGACGCTTAAATTGTAAAAACTAAGGTTTCTCAACAAGAATAATTCGATGTTGACTAAAATGATAATGAAGTACAAACCACTGATATGGTGAAAGTAAGTTTAAGACACGAGCTCAACGAGACATAATTATAAGATACATTTAATCACTAGAAGAATGGAAGACATCTTTCTTCTTGAATAATCTTAGAATACATTACATTTATTTTATCATATTTATTTTCTTTTCGATCTCAACGAAAGTTGACGGAAAAGATAAACTTGAGGCCAGATAATGGTCAGAAAAATAGAACCCATCATATTGCACCGAAGTAAACACATATCAAAAGGCGAATCATTTTACCTTCAATTTCAATTTCTATAGCGGTATAGCCTATCTGAAAGATCTACATGCAGCACGAGCTCAAAGACTTTCGAGAAATCAACCCAGAGCAATTTCAATAGCCCTGAGCGTCACCTTAGAGTGTGCGAACATCACAATGACGTTATTACAAAATCTGAACGTGATCTTGAAAGGCGATCTTGAGTTAATTTCTCGAAAGTCTTTGCGATCGAGTTATACTTAACAGAAGCAAAACAAAACAAGAAAGAAAAATTGTGACATTTATAGTCCTACGCACTGCTAATACCAAAAAAAGAGCAAATTAATTATTTATCTTCTGTGATAAGAAGCAACAATTTAGAGAGATTATGCCATTATTAAAATGGAACAAAACGCAACTAAATACGTGAGTAAAACATTACGAATATGAAATGAAAGAAGAAAAAGAAGAAAAATCTAAGTTTGAGAAGACCTTGCTAGAATTATATGGGATAGCTTAAAACACATACTCATACAGGTGTATATGCATTCATTTTAGGCTCCCTACTTCAAGCTAAATTAGATTCAATTCTATATTGCTGTTTGGCTATCACACAAAATCAAAGTTTTGTGTGCAAAAAAATAATGAAACAAGCACATGTCCCCGTCTTAAATTTCTCATTGACTACAACATTACGGATATTAAATGAAAAAAAAAGGAGAACTTATGTCTAGAAATTTATGGGAAAGCATAGAACACAAACTCATACAGGTATATATGCATTGGTTTTAAGCTTCATATTTCTAATTAAAGGTTTCTTAGATACTTTTGTTTGGCTATCACACAAAATCTAAGTTTTACGGGCAAAAAGAAGAAGAAATAATGAATTGAAATAGGGGATCGATAACTGAAGAAGGGGATATATAATCACTCAAAGCAGATTCCTCCAAACATTTGACCGAAAAACCTGGGTCATCTGATCATGCCGAAGCGAATCATTACAAATCATAAACGCTATCAAGCAACATAGCCCTTTGGGAGCGGGAGGCATCAGAGAGCGGTCCGTTCGTGATGGTGTGGAGTTTGGACTGGAAGCCTGTATTCTTCAGACTACGACGAGATCGTGATATGCACCCCTGAGCGCAGCGGGAGCCCGAGTCGTTGTTGTCACAGATCAGGATTGAGCAGTGGACGTAAACCTGTTTCGAAAAAGAAGAGTAAGTTAAAGGGTGAAAATTAAATTCAAAGCATCTTTATGACAAAACAGATGGTTTAACGCTAATCATAAGTTGTCGTAATTCAAAATAAAGTCCCACATTTCGAATGTAGAGCCCACCGAACACTACATGTCTCCAAGCGCTATACAGATAAACTATTACCCCGCTCATTGGATTAAATGCTTGCGCGTACACACCTTGTGCACAATCTCCACTCCCTGGGGAGCATTCAAGCCAGGCGTTACAATGACGGTCACATCCTACCGGGTACCCATTTAACACCTGGGTGGAGAGTAGCAAGTGCAGGTTAATATCTTACCAAAGGATATTAGTGCTGTGTCGGCCTCGAACCCTCGACCTTCACATCTCCAGTCAAGCGACTTAATACACTCGGCCACGACACTCCCTCGAAATAGCATTTGATATAAATTTTCTTGTAAAATATTTCATGGAATATGATCTAAAAAGTCATTAGATTAATAAAATCTAAATTTCAAAGGATTTCAAGACTTCTTGGGAAGGGACCAGCTAAATCGACTCAGTATCGCAGTGACGTCAGTAGTAGGATTGTCTACGATTTGAAGTTGATTCGGCTTTTATTCTAACTACAAGATTTAAGTGCACTAGAATTCTGATTTGTCAGTATTCTTTCATTATTTAGAACCTATATCAAGGAAGATGGTGTTTAATTAGATTGTAATATCCAATATGATTGCCATTTCTTTGAAAATGTGATCACAGGAGGATCTTATATATAGTATGCGGTGGTTTTGGAGTATTTTTGTTGTCGTTTTTTGTTTCGGTATTGTTTTGCTCATTTTTTTCCTTCTATAAGACTACGATGATCTTATAGTTTTTGCGGTGGTTCTCAGGCTAGGATTGTTTATCATGCAGGAGGCCTACTCAACCGAAAGCTTTATACCTTAATATTTACACCGACAAGACCGACACCGGACCAACTACAGACCGAACGAAAATATTAAATTACTTCTATGGTCAAGAATCAGTCGGTTTTGGAGTCGGTTTAAAGATGGTTTGTCGGTGTGACTGAAGTATCAGCCTCTTGTATGGTATATTGTGCCACCAAAGGCATGCAATATATATACAGGTCCCTGGTTACTTTGAGCTACGTGCTGTTCCAATGACCGCCTCTACGTGAATGCGGGGACGGTTGACAAATTTAGTTTTATTACAGGATTCCCCATACCAACCAGACAGTTATTTTTCATGCAGAAATACCTCACTCGAACATGGAACCACCGGAATGTTGTGCTATGTGATTTTAAGTTGCGGCCGATCCATTATTGAGACTATTGCAATGTCTACGCCAAAATGGTTGAACAAAAATATGTCGATACAGATCCATCTACCAGATCTTTATCACCTTTATCAAGTAGAATTGTCAGGATTTGTTTTACAATGGCGACCAGCTATGTTGGTTCTATATGATACTCTCGAGAACGCGGTCTTACATAATGGTAATAACTCGATACGATACTGTGCGAATTGTAACCCCCACCAAGCACTTAGCACATAAACACTTGAGAGAAATTAAATCATCATAACCATGATAAACCTAGTCATAGCCCTCCCCGAGTCTCCGAGTTAATAACACAGATAAACTGATACCAGTGAAAACCCAATTTTCCAATGCACAATTAATACTTAACTGCGATATATTAATCAAGACCCTGAAGGAATTTTAGAATGCAACGGTAATTCAAGTCAATAATTTGTTTGCACCATGATTTTGCATTTAGTAATCGTGTGATGTCTCTCACAACTGGCCTTTGACATACTGTGCCAGTTGCTGACGCACTCCTACGCCAGCTTAGAATAAAGCCACAGCTGCCTATGAGGTGTCATTTCGATTGCGTTATTACCTGCGCTCCTGTGCTAATTAACCGAGCCTGTGGTTAAGTCAAGTAGCATTGCTTCCGTTTGCACTCACTGTCTACACTCACTGTCTGCACCGTTCAGGGCCTATCTCACTGAGCGGCGAATGCTTGCGAACGTAGCGAATTTGGGGTTTCGCCAGAGTTTGTAAAATGTTGTAAAAGGTTGCAAGAAAGATCGCAAACAGTTTTCTTTGTTGTAAACAGTTTTTCTTGTCGCATTTTCCCGCAAACAGTTGCAGGCGTTTGCAAAACAGTCGTTAGCGTTTGCAAAACAGTCGTAAGCCTGTGCAAACGGTTGTTAAACGGTTTTGCTCTTTGTTTTCGTCAGTTCTCTGTGTTTCGCCAAAGCTAGCGACCACGTTACCATATGGTTCCTTTATAAAAATCGACCCATTGAGTACCAGTAGTTAGCAAAAGGTCTCAAAGTCAAACGTTCATAAATAGTGGCAAAGGATTGGCAAATAGTTGCTAATCTTCCCAAAAGTTGTCGCTAACATTTGTTTACAGTCGCTAATAGTCGCCAACTGCCTTTCGCAAACACTTTCGGAGACATTCGCTTAAATGTTGCTAATTGTCGCTAAACGTCACTTAATGTCGCTGATTTTCGCCAACATTCGTCAGAAAAGTTGGCGAATCCAAATTCGCAACGTTCGCAAGCATTCGCTGCTCAGTGAGAAAGGCACTTTCGGAGCAACTTTAGAATGCCCCACCAGACTTTCATAAGTTACCCAACGCTCTATAAATGAAGCTAAATCTGAAGAATTAAGTTTCTTAAGTAACACTAAACCTAACCCAATCCAATTGAATCCCCATTGAATGTCCCCATTGAATCCCAATTGGATACCAATTGGCAATTTAAAGTACATGAAAATTGAAACAATGGGTACCTATTGAAACCAACTGGCAATTGGTCCCCATTGAAACAAACTGGCAATTGGTCCACACATTGAAACAAATGGACAATTTGGATGTGCATTGTCATAATTTGCTGATACGTGTAAAGTAATAATGAATATATGCATGAGATACATAGATCTGTTAGTTTCTATTGGCTTCTATAGAACCTATTGGATTTTATTGGTCCTATTGGTTTCTATTGGTCCTATTGGTTTCTATTTGTCCTATTGGTTTCTATTGTTCCCATTGGGTTATATTGGTCTTATTGGTCCTATTGGTTTTTATTGGTTTCTATTGGTCATATGGCTTTCTATTGGTCATATTGGTTTCTATTGGTCCTATTGGTTTCTATTGGTCCCATTGGATTATATTGGTCTTATTGGTCCTATTAGTTTCTATTGGTTTCTATTGGTCCTATTGGTTTATATTGGTCCAATTGGCCCCCATTAGACTTTAATGGGATTTCAATTGGACCAATCGGCCCCATTATACTTTAAAAGGTTTTCAATTGGACCAATTGAAGTCCAAAATAGGGCCAATTTGTCCAATTGAAACCAATTGAGGTCCAATTAAAGTCTAATGTGGCCTAGGCCAATTAGGCCAAACTGGACCAATTGAAACCGACTGAAATTCTATTAAAGTCCCATTGAAACCTGTTAAAACCTTTTGAGACCAATTGAAGATCAATTGGTGTTCAATTGGATTTTCGTCTTGGGAATCCTAATCCTAACCCTAACCCTTAGTCTAACCCTAGGTCTTCGACGTTTATGTACGTTAACCGTACTGGTGGGGGGGGGGGGGTACATACGGAAAAAGTTTCAGGCCGAAATTCCACTAAAGTGGATCTGTGCGTGTCTTTCTTTGCTCAGCGCGCACAGGTACGTCTCATGAATGATTCACGACCCTCGCGCCAACTGCCCACACACAGCCACGCAAAGGCGAGTGTGCGGACCAGTCCATTAGCGAATATGGGTAGATTAAGCTCAATGTACAGAGGGATAACACATAGTTGTAATGTGTGCACTGAAGATGCATTGGGTAGAGTTGGGAATTTTCTCCATAAAACAGATCCATGAGTCATGACACTGGTTCAATGGATCACTCAGTCACAGCGCATTGCCAGCCAGTGCAATACAGATACCCAAACGTAACAATGGCAATGAAACCCCCTGTGCATTGCTGCGAGCTCAGTCCTAATCATGGCGTGATATGACATCATAACTCTCTATGCTAATGAGCTTGGAGTGTCGCCAAATGTGATTGGATGGAAAAGATTAATCTTCTTACTTTTTCAAGGTTTCCGACCAATCCATTTTTAGACCAATCAGCTTGATTCTGATATATGACAGAAAGGGATAAATTCCGCACTGATAAATGAAAACGCTGTATGCGTAGGGTAATCCGTCGCTGGGATACAGAGTCTCAAACACGGGGTTATCAATTACGTTTCCTGCTTTGAATTGTGCAAGTTCGTGCGTTGCTGTGGAAGGGTTGGTGTCAAAATTCACTTGAAATTCTTTCTTTCCAGGCCTCTTCCGACGCAAATACCTAAATTATTTTCTCATATTCTGGAAAATACAAGAAAAAATATAGACAATAGAATACCGTTCGCGCCAGCCTTGTATTTTGCAGCATTGCAAAGTTACACCAATATCTTTGACATAAGAATGTTTTTTTTAAAGCCTGTGCCCATTGGTTATAATACATGCGCGCGAGCATGCGTTCGAGACTCGCCAAAAGAAACCACTTTTCCATATATGTGTACAGTTAAGTTTCACCGTTTGTTTCAGAATCACCGTTTGTCACTCTCACATGCTGCATCAGGGTCATTATACTAAGGAATTTTAGATTTGCACGTCGACAGCTTTGACTGCAACGTGTGACGTCATTTTAAGGCACTGCGCATGCGTTACGTCGTCTCAGTCGGCGATCGAGAATGCGTCAACCTTGATTTTCCTAAATCTAGTACATACATACATATTGATATTTATATAGCGCCTTTACATGCTCAAGGTACTAGTATTCCGCGTGCGCATAAAATATACTGTTCCTCAGGTAGACAAAGGAACATCCCTTCCCTGCTGTTATGTAAAAATGTGTAGAACAGGTGTCACAGGCATATTCACCTGTTCTACACATTTTTACATAATAGCAGTGAAGGGATGTTCTTTTGTTGAGGGTACAATAAGGAACTGTATATTTTGTCCTCTTTCTTTGTCCGTGATGTTCATAGTGTTACTTCATGCATGCATGTATATCGTCGAGTGCAATCTAAAAGATTTCTAATTGTAGTCAACATGGGCAGTTAAGTACGTTGACACGCATGATCAGTCGGCGTTCGTCGTGTTCTCGTCCACTCAATCTAAAAGTCCCTATTAACTAACACAGTACTACGTCAGTAAAATGACACACCAGGTGCAACGGGTACGAGGGTTACAAAGGGCTATTGTTGACACTCACCTCGTCGTTATCGCCAATGAAGGTGAAAGCATCGATACTGAATCCTTTGAAAGTTGGGGAGGCCAAATTGTAAATGACTGTTGTGCTATCCACGGCACATCTACAAAACACAAACACATGTAACGAAATAAATTTGCTTTTATGATGATATACGTTGTGCATTTTGGAACGTTACCCTAATTGGCGGACTAGACCGTAATTCGGTTGAGAATTTCGATGCGAACCCTCCCACCCAACTTCTAGGATATATATCAACCGGCCTGTCGGCCATCAGAGCACAAATCGACTGGCCCTCAATGCATCATATCGAGCGGCCCGTAGGGAGAAGCTCCCCAGACCCCCCATAGTTAGTCCGCCCCTTATGAATGGCACAGTGTATGTCCATTCATGCGAGGAGGTGCACTGCTCTTACTTGGTGGATGAAATGCAAAAGTCTGCGACCTCCACCCTCCAATAAAAACACCAAAAAATAACAACAAAACAAACACAAAAAAGGGTGGAAAAAAGCTTAGCCTCAATCGGTATATTTCAACCAAGAATCAACAGGATCAGATAAAAAACTGAGTAAGCAAATGTAGAAAAAAAATAATCCACCCATTCTTGATGATATCATAGCGGTGATCGTCGCCTGGGTCCGGCGAGCTCGTTGCCCAACACGACTCGATGAGAAGCGTGAGGTTCGTGACAGACGTCAGGCGGACGCCGAAGTATAGCGGTGTGCCGAGCGTAACTTCGCCGGAATCGTTGGTAGGTTGGTAGAAGCCCGAGTTTGTATACCGGTCTAGGTTTAGCGAGAAATCACCATACCCTTTCTAGAAAATGAGTACACAATTGAGAGAGAGAGAGAGATTTCAAATTATATGTGTGTCTAAGAAAGAAATTGGTAATTGGGACACAACAATTTACCAGCAAAGTTTGATCGAGTCATATAAACTAATATAATTATAAATATGACAGAAATACTACAATAACAATTTTCATGTGACATACATGAGAATTCGCAATTTATTTCCAACCTTTATCAAAACTAAACCCTCAATGAAAGGTTGATAATAAATTATAAAGTGGTTTCATTTGCCTATGGTCCAATGCGATTTCTCCGGGCCAAACATTTATTATTACCCCAGTATTTAATATCCATTTATTAAACCTAGATCTAAAGTGACAAAGTTAATGTGGCCTTAAAAGCTCGTTTAAGTATGTAAGCACTCAGCAAGAGTCGAAATAATGATAATGATAATATTGACAATAATAATATTGATAGTATAAAAGTGAAAATAATCATAGTAATAATAAAAAAAGTATCGGTGTCTTCTTATAGAGTACCGAAGTGCTAATGCCATATCCAGCCGTTGTCGAAGTGACTGGTTCTAAACAACAGAGGCTGCACATGAGGTTAACCGCAAAAGCAACGGGATGGAGTAAGGGCGAATTCAGTGTTTGCGGATGGTGCGATCACTCGACTATTGTTTAGCACAACACTTGTTTGGAACCAGCAACCTTTACAACTTGGCCAGTATGACGTCACACTTCGGTAATTCTATTAAGCGCAAATGTCCTCACGCTGTCGTGCACCTGGCTCTGAAACATGATTACACTATTCTTGCCGAACGACATAAGTGCCGAGCTGGGATTAGAACCCTCAACCCTCGGATTTATAGCCAAGTGAATGAACTACTATTTCACGACATCTCCACAAAGTTTAACATAGAAAGTTGCTTGTATCAGGATTCGCTTTACCTAAGCTACAAAGTAATTGAATCCTTACCTTTTCGGAGACATAAAGGTTTTCTTCAGGCAAGAAAGACTCTTCCAACACTTGTGTCCTCTCCAGGTAGCAAGTGACAGGGATATGAAGATAGTGTTCTCTGGTAATGAGCTCATTAGTTCCATTTTCAGGGCGAGGCTTGTAATACGTCACCATGTTGGTAAATATTATGTAGTTGTCGTCTTGCTGCGGGTATTGATGGGGGGGGGGGGTAGGGCATATTAAAGGAAAATGTTAATAGAGAAACTGTTATGATGGAGGTAACAAGTTAAAGTGTACCGTTTGAGCTGTTCTATCGATGATTGTTGACAATTAACAAAATACAGTCCGAATAAAGACAAAGAATATAACTTTTTGTTCGTCTTTGGCCTTTATTGCCACCCATACATCGGTGGTGTATTCCAGGCTTTACGTATAAATCGCCTCAGAAAATTCGGGCCTTTGGGCTGAGAATATGAGTCTCGGACCCAAATAGATGCATCTAAAAAAAAATGGTTTTCCCCACATCTATGATCATAACCACTTAGTGTAATTCATCTAGCCACTATCATAATGATACAGATGTTAGAATTGTGATCCTCTAGACGATCCTAACCTAATAATTACCGTTTGTGAAGGTGATGGGAAAAACTATCACTTCCGAGGCGATCTGGATGTAGCTATCTTTCCGAAACGAAGCTGAGGAAAGATAGCGTATACATTCAGATCGCCGAGGAAGTGATAGTTTGCCATCGCCTGAAACCAAAAGGTGATTTTTTGGTTTCCACATCGGAAACATTTCACTTCTTCCGTCATTTTAGAGCAACAAGTGATCAATTAACAGCTAGCAAACGGTGTACAATACGTACTGTACAGTACATACAGTATGGTGGTGTGACCATAGTTCGCGCGTGAACAAGGTTCGCGTACTAACACTAAAAGCGCTTAAAGAGGAGAACAATACGCAACATATACATTTAAAGAGCGTTGCACTGTGTAGATAGTACTACGATATAGACAGTGCAACGCACTTTCACTGAAGATAGTAGTACTATCTACACAGTGTAACGAACTTTTCATCTCCCATCAATGATGTGCGAACTATCTTTCATCACGTGATTTATTTTTGACCAATCGTAGAGCAAGATTCTTAGTATGTGGAATATAATTAAAAATATACGTCTATTACCAATGGAGGGGGGGGGGGGGGGGGGGGGTAAGCGGACACTTTTTTTTTTGTCTCGGAATTTGAACCCCCAACCCCCCCCCCCCCCCCTGCGTACGCCCCTGATTAACACGACCACTGAAAAATGGACCAGCGATTCATGAGAGTAATTGGAAACTAATCAAGTAGTATTTGTGTGATGTATCAATGGTAAATATACACTTCTTGACCATACCTCTTGCGTAGTACCACATCTATCGTACATGGTGGTGATCGCAACATGCTGACTGTCGTGGTCGTATCCAACACAAGACTCGTCTTCGAAATGGACATCGCGAGCGTCGTCGCTGATCTCGAGAAGGGATCTGTCCATAATGAGCGTCATTGACACGCTGTCACAAGTCAGGTCTGACTCTGCAAGAAGATTTCAAATGGATATTTGCCCACAATCAAACTATGAACTAAGTGTTCTCGCAATGTATGGATCTATCATGGCGAAGTTGCATTTTGAATGCGTTAATTACATTTCACTTTTTTCTCAAATCTTCCACATTCGTATTTTATGTATTATGTGTTTCTTCATTTTTTCTCTCCGGAATGGAAATACAAAAATGAATTGTAGGTGAATCCAAAGTAAACTAGAATTTAATTCGTCACGAAGACGAATAAGGTGGTCTGTCTTTGTCTTATGACAGATTTGAGAATGGGACAAGTTATATGGACATGTAAACAATGATGATCATGATGAACATGGTGATGATCATGATAGTAAAGGTGATGATGATGATGATAATGTTAATGTTATATAACGATAAAAACGATAATGTTAATGATGATGATGACCATGAGCATGAACCTGACAACTGATTAAAAAAAATGAGGAAATATTTAGATAGCAAATAGTCTTAGCTACAACATACTAACATTTGGGAGAAAACTGTTAAATAATAACCGAGATACTGGTCAAAACACCTTGTCATGCAGATTCATGTTTTGAAAAAAGTGACCTCCCATAGACATAACACGCAAATATGACAAATTATGCATTGTCGCCTTTAATCGAATATTTAACTATGATGACGTCATCGAAATGAAAAATGAATGGCATATTTTTGATAGAGAATTATCTCAGCTACAACATATCAAAATCTGAAAGGAAATCGATCACAGATAAGTGAGATAATCTCAATTGAACAAAGACAAAAATGACGTCATCAACAAAATACATTTGTTTGAGTTTAGATGCCAATATGATGACTTTGTTTCACTTTGTACGAGTCAGGGTGGTATGAAATCATATCTCCAACTCATGCTTTCTCCAACCATGATATAAAAATTGGGGGTCAATGGACTATCTGAAGAGCTATTTCGATTTTTAAAATGGCATGTTTTTGATCAAATTTGCACTATATTGCCCATAGCAGTACGCGCGGATTTTGAAATTTGACGCACGCTCACGGCCTTATGAAATATGAAGAGTGACTGAAATTAATGTAAATTGTCAATTACGTTAAGAGGAATCCAAATCATGTAAACATTTTGAATTTGACCTTTTCCGCGCGCTGTGAGCGCGCACACCGCGCGCGGGGACACTTACGGACGGAAAATTTTGAAATGCTTAAAATGACCTGATTCGTACTCTCGTTTAATAGTTTAGTGATTTTGAGCAATTTTAAATTTTGACGCGCACATACGCGCGCGTCATGAACTTTATGTGACCTTTGATGACATGACCTGTTGACCCTTGACCTAAAGTATATGTGATATGAATATGAATGACCTTTGCTGATGCATCATGAAGATATGATGGATAACGTGATTTCACAAAATGGCGCCTGGATGACGTCACGATAACCTAATGACCTTAAAAATGTTTCTGTCACGTCTCATGATAATGACCTATTACTGTGCCAAAATTGAATCAAATTGACATAACCAATCTTACGTTATCCGACACACAAAAAAGTGAAGAAATAAATAAAAATAAAGAAATAATAACTAGAAATTTAATTCGTCATGGGGACGAATTAGGTGGTCTGTTTTCAATTTTCATGATCATGCTCATCTTTAATTCAATGATCCAATATAATGATGTTAATGCAAAATGATGTATTAAGATATGAATTGATGATGAAGTATCGATAAACTGATTAACTGATAGATTGAACTGATGTGAAATGAACTGAATTGATGAGCTAAACTGATGAACTGATGAACTGTGACCTGAACTGAAGTTAATAACTTAACCGATAAGCAAAATATTGAGAAATGATTATGATCAAAATCATGATCATAATGAACTTTAATTAAACAAGACCGGAATGTAGAATGCATATTTCAGAAAAAGTCACCTCCTATAGATATGCCACGTAAATTAAGAAAATTCTGACATGTCGCATTTAAACGAAGTTTTCACTATGATGACGTCATCAAAATGAAAAATGGTGAGATATAGATAAAGAGAAGGAGAGCAGGAGACGGGTTATAGTCATGTAAACATACATGAGCTGGACAGAGGGGTGAAAGAGGAATCAGAATGCACTTGGAAGGAGAGAGTATAGTATAAGAAAACATTTTAGGGGTGAAATAAGAATACTAAGGGCAAAGGAAAGAGCTAGAGAAAATTAAGGAATATCACAAGACATATTAGAGGGAGAACGGGAGCCAGAGCCGGAAAAGGGAGAGGGCGATAGGGATGAGAGACTAGAGAAAGAGAGAGGCAGAGACAGATGGAAACAGAGCAAGTGAAGAAGAGTGAGGCAGAGCAAGAGAGGGAGACAGAGAGAGGGAGAAGGTGAAAGAGTAGAGAGAAAGAGAGATAGTAGTCGAAAAAGATGATAACATCAAATAAGAAACGAAAGCAAAAATATATATATTTTTTAAATCGACCCACCAGGAATCGAACCTTGGTCACCGGAATGGAAGTAAAGTGCGTTACCGATATACCAAAACATTTCTATTCAATCTTTCATTATTGCAAGGAGTTTTTTCCAGATCGGCTAAAGAAAGCTTAAACACCAGTCTTTAAATGTGGTGACAAGTGTGAATTTACAAACTATAGACCAATTTCTGTACTGTCAGTCTTCTCTAAATTATTCGAGCGCATTGTTTATAAAAGAACTATTGAATTACTTGACAAACATTCTATTGTCAATAAACATCAATATGGTTTTCGTAGGGATTATTCAACATGTATGGCTCTAACCAGTCTTTCTAGTAAAGTCATAGATGCATTTGAAGCAAATGAATTTGCAATTTGAGTTTTAATAGATCTGTCAAAGGCCTTTGACACAATTAATCACAATATTTTACTATCTATATTCGTTATGGAATACGCGGTGTAGCTCATAAATGGTTCACCAGCTTTCTTAACAATCGATTACAATGTACTAAGCATCAATCCCCTAATTTTGGAGTTTAGGACAGTAACATGCGGAATTCCACATGGTAGCCTGCTTGGGCCACTGTTATTTATATTATATGTGAATGATATTTATAAATCTGCTAATGTATTGTCTTTTATACCGTATGCAGAAGACACAAACATATTTGAAAGAGATTCAAACTTGAAGTCTCTTATGGACACAGTAAATCCAGGTCTTATATTTATATATATATATATATATATGTAAATGGTTCAAATCTAATAAATTATCTGTAAATGTAAATAAATGTAAGTATATGATTTTTCACAATGGAACAAATGCAGATTTAAATGATCTCAACATTGTTCTTGATAATGTCATATTGCCAAGGGAAGATAAAGTCAAATTTCTTGGCGTTTATTTAGATAGTTCCTTGTAATGGAAATACCATATTTACGAAGTTGAAAGTAAGGTGTCCATGGACCTTGTGGCAGATTAGCCCTGTGCTAAATAAGTTATCCAATAAAGTCTTCTACTACTACTACTACTACATTGGCATTATATCCAGACTCAAACATTTATTGCCAATCACATTCTACGTATGTTAAATTGTGCTCTTATACTGTAATCTTGTTTGGGCGAATTCCTGGAAGTACATAATTCAAGACCTTACATTATTGCAGAAGAAGATTATTCGTATAATATCCGGAATGCACTATCGCTCCCATATTGGTCTCGTGTTTAAACAAATTATTTTCTTGAGATTCAGTGATATCAACTTGGATCAACAGGATATTTTCATGTATAAAAGCATGAACAACATCTTCCCATCACAATTTAGTGATCTTATCAATTTTCAATGCAACTCGGAAACTCATACGTATAATACGAGAAGCGCTGCCAACACTCATGTCCCTAAACATAGAGCCCGAAGATTTCAATTTGATATTCGATACTCTGGGCAAAAATTGTGGAACACCTAACCATCTATCCTACAGAAGTACCTCTCCTCGCAGACCTTTCCCCGTAAGGCAAGAATGTATTTTAATTGCTCGATATTAATACCCTCTCTTGTATTTATGTGTGAAAATGACTTCTTTTCGAAATCAATAACAAGTTGTATGACCAATGATTTATTTATTTTCATCACTTACGTAAATGCATCAACTGTTGCTAGGTACCATCTGTATATATTCCCCAGGACAGTGCTGTCGGATGAAGCTGCTGTTTGTTGGTTGAGTTTACTCATTTGTAATGCTATGTACCCGCTATCTATTTTAGAATTGTAGTACTTTGTTATTGTTATGATGTAATCGCAGACACATGCACACCCCAATTGAGTTAACTTTCTCTCTTTAAGTGAACATGCCTCCCTATACTTAATTCTCTTCTAATTTGTTTTCCTTTCCTTTTTTTTAAAAAATATTTCATCTCAAAGTTCTGTTATACAAGCTATGCTTTTCGGGTTTTCGCTTCCTTCCGTATCTGAATTATTTACTGTATACTCTGTTTAAATCATTGTCACATATACAATTTATATCTACATTGTGTTATATATTGTAATGTTGAGTAGGAAATAAATGTTAATAAATACAATAATACAAACTACAAAGTTTAAAATGTGTAGCATATTGACCATTATGGAAGATAGATTCAGACAATATGACTAATGACCTCGTACAATGAGCAGTTGCATCTTTGACCCTAATTGACATAATGAAGAGTGCATTTTCACAATTTTATCTTATTCCATGAAATGCTCTACCCGTCATGTTCTACTGATATTGTGCTGCGCAGAGATTAAATCGGTTTATTTTGGGTTATTACAAGAAGTGGGTTATTGATGTAGACCAAAGCTCATGTTCCCTAGCAAGCTCATTTTATGTACTTAATTACCAGAGAAAAAAACAATCACTCAGTGAGAGTCTGACAGTAAAGTTTAGACAGTAAATGGGTTTCACTCAATTGAAGATTTGGTCATAATCCCATCATCTGATCAAAAAACTAAAAGCATCGTTTTTGTAGCCCATGGTCTCAGCTATAACA